ACATCACATAATTATAAATTATAAATTATAAATGTTCAACAATTCAAAAACAGGAAGCATTCAAAGTTATAAATTAAAAGAGAAAAAGTAAAGGGAGTAGAACACCCAGACCGAGAACTAAAAGGGAATAAATTCACAACATTCCCTCAACTAGTCAAGATAAATTAACAACTTGGACAACAAATTAAATATTGTTTTAATTTTTGTTGAAACTAAAAAGAATCTGATCAAAGGTTCTTCAACAGTTTCAGTCTCAGAGGTTTTAGGTTTTAGGTCAAATATCTCCCTAAGATATCTATTATAATATTTTTAAAAATCATCAGATTGTGCGTCCTATTTCCTCACTGATTTTTAAATACAAATTGATGTGGATTTTGTTTTTGTCCCACTTTCACTTTGATAATTGCTCATTGACTTCATCTACACTTCCTAGGTTTATATCACTTTAAGATGCATGCTTGTATTTTGTGAACCTTCTTTTTTTTAATTTTTGCACCTAAATTAATAAAAGGGAAAAAACATTCTTAACTTTAAGTAAAAAACATATAAATAAAAGTTTCCCTTAGAGCTTCTTTAACTCTTAGGATTTAAACTCACATTCATTAAATCCTAGACAAACCTCTCCACCAAGCCAACACATCACAAATTTAAAAATCATAAAATAACATGTGTTGCACTTAGTAAAAAAATAAATAAATAACATAAAATTTATGCAAGACTTGAACAAGTGTTCACTTAACCCATCAAAGAGGTCTCACCAACCAACTGAGCTATGCAACACCTCATAAAACATGCAATTTTCAATAAAGCATACTCAAGTCTTATTACAATATTATTTCTGAGTTATAATTTTTTCTAGATTTTACACATAACACATATTTAATGTTGTTAGTGCAGTATTAACGAAAATGACCTAATTGTTTAAAATTTCTAAAACTTGAACAAAATTAAAATGCATAAAAATAAATGGACTTTTCCTACAAAGTTGCATAAAATTAAGATTTTCCAAGAGGGAGAAGAAAAACATAATTTAACCTATTTATTCTAATAGTTTATCTAAAGAATACTTGAAGATATATACTTTAACTTCATTGAGGAAAATAAGAATGACTAATATTGGATGATGAACTTCGAATTTCATTCTACTCTCACATTTTTTAATTGAACAATTGATTTTGTACGGTGGAACTTGATTGGATTAATGTGAATGTGAAAATAAGCATTTTAAATTTGTTAAAATTTTATTTGGTTAAAAAAGATAATTAGTTGAAGTTTATAAATAATTTTGAAAATTTTGTAAAATGAAAATTTTGTAAAATATTATTGTTTTTTTAAGTGTGTTTATTCTATTACAACATCTTAATTAAATAAAGTATTTTTTTAATTAAATTTTATCTTTACCAAAATTTCAGTGTTATAACATCCTAATATACTATGTGAGTATTCCTTATTTTGTTTTTATCAAATTCCTTTTCAAATTTAATATATTTTAATTGGTTGTTGTCTTCTTATATAGAAATTTAATAGATAAAAAAAAGTATAGGCTTAAATGCTTATTTCATCTTCACGTTAAGAGATGAATTTTTGTTTAGTACCCGGTTTTAAAAATGGAGACATTGGGTCCTATGTTATGAAAATATATGAATAAGGTCCACAAAGAAAGAACAATTTCAACAAATCATCAAAGAAAAAGCTGAACAAGAGATAAAAAAAGTTGGACAACAGAAGAGACGAGAGAAAAAGTACGGTCACATCAGCATGGACTTAATGTTGTTGCTATCAACTTAACGAACACGACCTTATTCATACACTTTTCATAACATAGGGACCCAATGTCTTCATTTTTAAAACCGGGTACGAAATTCACCTCTTAACATGAGGATGAAGTAAGCATTTAAGCCTTAAAAGTATAATAAGTCATACATAATTTCATTGAAACTCTATAAAATATTATAAATGAATAATAGTTTTTATAAAAGATATTCAATTATTTTATTAATAAAAAACTTTAAATATGAATAGATATTAGTTTTAAATTGAATTTTATTTTATAAAAATTATTAAAAAGTAAAACTCTTTTCCTCTTTTAATATTTTTAAAGTTTTTGACTTATTTGTTCGTTTGTTTAAATATTGAAGTATATCATAAAATTCTTTACCGTAGTCTATTTTTCTATTTATCAATTTTTTAAACATAATAAATTAAACTTTTGTTCTCTTTAAATTTGTTTTAGAAATTTTGATCGCATGTAGGCCTTTTAGAGTTTTAGGTGTTGTTTAAGCACTCTAGATGAATTTATGTTCAATTAGGATTGTTAGAGTTCTTTGTACAAATATTACTTTCTTTGTGAATAGGGGTACTTCGAGGTAAAAATAGATTTTGTGTTCTTACTTAATACCTATTAAGGTCAATTAAACATATTGAATACTTGTTACGAGTTTTTAATTATCCAGACTTGTTGGGTGAGTGATACATTCGCTGGGCGTGAACATAATTTATGAAGTTAAAGAGACAGTGTAGGTCTCATTTGTTGAATGAGTGATATGATCACTAAGCGAGAAGTGTTTTTATGAAAGTTAGAGAAGCATTGGTGTTCCTTCCATTAACAGGGCGTAATAAGGCTTGCTTGACGAATTTATGAAAATTGCTATCAGTGATTTTATTCCTTGACTCACTAGGTGATTTTTTTAGAATTTTCTCTCAATACCTTCTCGTTGGGCAAGTAATGGTGTCATTAAATGAGAAACAGAGTTTTCAATTGAATTGATAAAATGTTTCATAATTTGTTTAAGTGATAGTTAATTATTAAAAAGAGAGATGTAATATACGAAATGAATGAGATAGAAATACTTTACATATGAATACAAGTAATATGACCAAAGTGAAATAACTTTTTAAAAAGAAAGTATTTCACATTGTTAAATTTATAATGTATTAAATAGAAATTCAATTATCATATTATTCATAATTTACTAAATATTTTAACTCATATTATATTTAAGTAATAAAAATTAATAAAATTCTATAACAAAAATTGATTTAAAAAAAAACAAATTTTTAACATGTCATAAAGAACTATAGAGACATAAGTTTCTTTGATAACGTTGAATAGAACTGGAATGTTAAAATAAAAATGTAGAAATTGATATTACATGTACATAAATTTTCAATAAAAAAAAATTAAAATTTTAAAGTTGTTCTAGGAGTTTTTTTGTAGGGAAGCTAATATGAGGCTGATAAGGATCTCAACAATAAAATAGCTCAAGAGTGATTTGCAAAATTTCTATTTGCATAATACCAGCACTGCTCCAAAATAATACATCTTATATATAGGTTATTTATATGTAGAATGTCCATTTTGAGTGAGTGATAAAGAAATGAATTTATATTTTATGTTTTTATTCTATTAATTTATTTTCTCTTCTTGGGTAGACATCACAAGCCCATAAATCCAAATCCCTAACTCAGCAAGAAATTTACAGAGCTAAATCTTAATACAAAAACAAAAATCACAAGGAAATTTTTTATTACTTCAATGTAAAGTGGCGTGAGGATGAATTAAAGCAAAGAAAACTATATCTGAATTGGAATCCTAAGACAAAAAGATATAAAATTTAAGACTTTTCTTTACTAATTATAATAATTGTTTTGAATTTTATTTTTCTTTTCATAAGATTTTTTTCCCAAATTTTTATTGCGTTAATTGTTTTTCTACATAAGAAATATCATTGTTTTAATTAAATAAATTCTATGAAGTATATTTTTCTATTTTATGAAGATTGAAAGATTTAAGATTTAGTTTAAAAATTAAAATTTTATTGTTATTATTCTTCTTCCAAATATTAATTATTAACGTTTAGAAAAATATTACAGTATCATCAAATGGTAAATTTTCATTGATGTTATTTTTAAGTTAATTATTATGAAAACCTTTTCATTTGATTTTTTTTTCATTTTATAAAATATCTAATAATTTTATAATAATTAAGAATTTTTTAATCCGATCTAAATTATACCACAAATATTTATTTTATTTATTTATTTATTTAAAATTAAATTAAACTAATAGAAATTATATTTTATGTTTATCACAAAATTATATTTTTTTTCTGTCTATCAAAGAATTTATTATATTAAGTATATTTTTCTCCTCAAATATAAAACTCACCACATCTCATATAAACTAGTCAAATATTGCACGTTCAACCCAATCAATTAACTTATAATTTATAATATATTCATCAATTATATTTCATATTTTCAGTTTCAAAAACAGCATCTTTTTACAAATAAACATATTTATTATAAATATGTATATTTATAATTGATTGATGAATGTAAGCTTAACCCAACACATTTATTTTATACAAATTTGAATGATATTAACTAAATCAACTTTTTACATAGTATTTCAATATGTAGTTTTTGTCCACGTACAATTTTAACAGCATATTATTTGGGTATTCTAAGTTTACAAAATTAAACACTTTTAGTTCAAACTTAACATATGTCTCTCCTTAATAAATTTATTAATTTTGTTGTCATAAAAATTATTAAAATTTATAATTAAACATTATTATTATTATCATAGCTACTTTATATGTAAAATAATGTTTGAAATGGAAAAACATATTAATTTTAGAGAATTGATAAAATTACATATTTTTAGTGTAGCTTGAGCTGACTAAAGAAAACATGCATGACCCACCCAGCAACCTTAAATTGAGCACCCAATTGCAAGAGCATGAGAGACAAATGTGGCATATAGCAGGGAGAACAGGTTTTGAGAGAAAGTACACGTAAGTCAGAAACTCAATAGACATGCATGTCATTGTACAAACAAACTCTTCTCTTACCCTACACACAATTTCCTTCTAAGGAAACAAATAAATATTTAATATCATTACTGGAATTAATTAAAATCTATGTGCAATTCAACCAGTTATTTTTATTTTTCCATTTATATTAAACTACCATTCTCATTTTGTGAATTCTTTTCCTTTTTCACCAAGAAACCACACCAGCACACTTAGCATGGTTGCTGCAACGTGTGTGTGATGCCAGAGTGGGGCAGATTCCGTTGAGATCCGTGTGAGCACGCATTCGTTTTTCGCCGTCGTTCTTTTCTAAACAAGAATATTCTTCTTTTGTGATGTTCTGGGAATTGAACTGAATTTCAATAAAACCCCTCTGTTTGTTTGGTTTTCTCTTTCTTCTCTGTCTCCGTGCCTACTGTTTCATGTGACTGGGGACACTAAAAAGCAAAAAATTTGCATTTTGGCTTAGAATTCTCTGATAGATGGGTAGTAGCTGTCCTTGTTTCGGGCCGAGGAAGAAGGGCAAAGAGAAGAGTGACAAGGGACGGGACGAGCTAAACAAGAATTGCAAATCTGTAAAGAACACCAATGATGTCTCTGAAAGTTCTTCAGGTTATCTTTTTTTCCAAAGATTCAATCTTTCAAAAAGAATTCTTTAATTTTTTGCCAATTTTTTTTAATGGGTTTGGGTTTTAAGTCACCATAGGAGACAAATTGGTTTTTAGGTGATGTCTCTTGTGATTATTGCTTATAGTTCTCATCTCATTTGATTCTTATCTTAGGGTGAAAGAAAAAAGGTCTTGGATGAATGTTGTCTTCTTGGAGTATTTCTTATTTGAAAATTGAAGTTCTGATTATGTACACTGCATAAAGCTTAGTACCTTATTCCCAAAATCAATTAAAAAACTAAGGGGGCTGTTCAAATTTCATACCCCCGCCTAAATGCCTTTTTCTGAGTTGCTACTGTGTTGTTTTTCACTCTAGTCTTGGAGAAGCAAAAGCATGCATGTTAAATTCTGGAAGAAATTTTTATGTGGAAATTTTGTGAATTGATTGTCACTAGCCTGAGAGTGTTTGCTTCATGTGGAAATGCGTTCTTTCAACCTGGTCTGCACAATTGAGTGGTCTCATTTCTGTATCAAAAGAATATCACATCAGCCTCTGTTGCATAGAACCTCCTGCACACTTTGAAATCAATTTAGTAGAATACCACAGTTGTTGGCTACAAATTCTGCTAGGAAAATAAATCATCTCCCTCCTTTTTATATAGGCAACTTAGAAAATCACTATGGTCTAACCAAAGGAATGGTCCTTTTTTATGAATTCATTGAGGTGGCCGCCCTGTTTTCACAGGAACTGATTATAGATAGTTTTTCGTGGTAATTGAACACATACTGATTATCAGAATTTCCTTCATTCTCTTCTAATAACTCCTTTCCCAAGAGGGGAGATAGATGTCCTGAGTTTTTCTTGGCTTAGTTTGATTTTGTTTAGCAATTCTTTGACATGATAATTTTACAAAGATTATCACTTGTTTATAAGCTGCTGAAGGAAAGCTCTGTCGATTAATTGAGTAGTTATTTTTTAAGAGAAAATTTTATATCTTCTATGCATCTCTTTAGAAAAAAGTATATAGAGATTTTCACTTTTACAAGTTAATATTATACTCGTCACCTAGATATGTAGGCACATATATAGTTAGTCCAGATTACTCAATAGGAACTTGTGTATTTTGGAGTGTCTAAGTTTCACATTGAGCATTATGCTTGTGTAAAAAACGTTGTTATAGTATTAAAAGCGAGATCTCTATTGTTTTTTGCTTTGCTTGTATACTCTACTGATCATAACTTGGTTTGATACAGGGAATGGACCAGAAGAAAACCCAGTACAGGAGGGCGAAAATTCTCATAAGGCCCGGATATTTACCTTCCGAGAGCTTGCAACAGCAACAAAAAGTTTTAGAGATGAAACCTTTATTGGGCAAGGAGGATTTGGCATTGTTTACAAGGGAATAATTGGGGAAAATCAGGTATAACTTGATGGATAGATTTTCTGTGTGCCTGTTTCTTCATTTACAATACCCATCAGTATGCTACATTGCTGTGAAATATAGTTCTTTTAACAAGCTACGGGATTTGATCAGGTTGTAGCAGTTAAAAGACTTGATACTACAGGAGTGCAAGGGGAGAAAGAATTTCTGGTGGAAGTTCTCATGCTTTCCCTTCTACGCCATCCCAACCTTGTTAATATGATTGGTTACTGTGCAGAAGGGGATCAACGTCTTCTTGTGTATGAGTACATGGCTTTGGGATCCCTAGAATCTCATCTTCATGGTATAATACTATAAAGCAACCTTTTTCTTCAATGCCAAATTGTAATCAGTTACCAGTTACTCCATGTATCTTTTTCCTGCCTTCTTTTCTGCCCATGAGTTGGAGGAAATTATGAAAAGCCTTATAGTTTATTCCTATCTGTGGGGATTGTACATGATTTACTGAGCTGAAGAGGGGTGCTACTAATTAGTTCAATAAGGCCATGTTTAGTATCACATGTTAATGCTTTATAGCTTAAAGTAACTACTGCTGTATCTTCTCTGTTCTTGACGTGCGTCTTTATTCACCAAAAGTACATTTAGATCTTTGTATCTTTAATATTTGTTTATGGTTATTTGCAGATGTTTCTCCTGATGAAGAGCCACTTGATTGGAATACCAGAATGATTATAGCTTGTGGATCAGCAAAAGGGCTACATTATCTCCACGATGAAGCAAAGCCTTCAGTTATATACAGGGATCTTAAAGCATCCAATATACTATTGGATGAAGATTTCCATCCAAAACTTTCTGATTTCGGGCTTGCAAAATTTGGTCCAACCGGAGATCAATCATATGTTGCCACAAGGGTCATGGGGACACAAGGTTACTGTGCCCCTGAATATGCCACCAGTGGAAAATTAACGAAGAGATCTGACATATACAGTTTTGGGGTTGTGTTATTGGAACTAATTACTGGACGCAAAGCATATGATGATAAGCATGGCCCTGAAAAGCTTCTAGTAGACTGGGTAAATTCCTATATTGATTGTATTTTGTTTCATTTCTTGCCAATGATGAATAACACAAAACGTTACTTTCTCCTTTTTCTCTCAGTTGAATCATATACATCAGATTAATTAACATTTTGGATTTGCTCTGTTTGCATTTCCTTGGCAGTCTCAGCGGAATGCTATCATCACTCTTGGTTTTTCCAAGTTTTCATTGTGTACTTGAAATAGGAAGAAGCTGAGTTATAAATCAGCTCTTGTTAATCAATGAATGTGGTGTGGTCTTCTAATGTTGAAAAGAGGAATATAATGATACCTTATAATTTGAACTTAAATTCCAGTTTGGTACATGGTTTCTGGAGAACGTCATTGCATTGCTTGTGATCTAACCCTTCTCTCAGAATATTACGTGATTTTTCTACTTTATCCAAAATGGCTAAATGCCATCCAATGTCTTAATTTTGAGAACTTTATCATTGTTTAAGGAACCACAATTTGAGAAAACATAATGGTTTCAGTTGACCATGAGAGAACATAAGACTTACACAGTGAAGGTTGTTTTTTCCTAACATATGTAGGCACGTCCAATGCTGAGAGACAAAAGAAGTTTCCAAAGATTGGTAGATCCACGGCTTCAAGGGAAGTACCCAGGATCATGTCTACCGATGGTGATTGAATTGACAGCCATGTGTCTTCGTGAAGAGCCACGTCAACGGCCTAATGCAGGAGATATAGTGGCAGCTCTGGAATTCTTGTCATCCAAGCAATATTCCCCAAAAGTGTCGAACACAGTCAACAACACAACTGAGATGGAGAGTGGAGAGTCCCCAAATGAAACAACAGCCATTTTGCCAAAAGAATCAGTGAGAGAGCGAGCTGTTGCAGAAGCCAAGCTGTGGGGGGAGACATGGAGGCAGAGACGACAAAGTGAGCAAAACAGTCCTAAGGAACCCCACATAGAGTTGTGATTCAACATGATACCATATAAGGTTCAACATACTTCAACTAAAGGAAGACACAGAAAGGTGACATTTGATGCAGATAGATTGGAACAGGTACAGGGAAAGTAACACAAACATCAAAGGATAATCTGTCGAGGATTTTAAATGTAGCTTAATAAAGCTAGTTGGCCATCTTTTTTTTCTTAAATAGTGCTGTTTTGGCACTTGTGAACTTGAGGCTCAATTTCACATGCTTTGACATGAGGTTTCAGATTACATGGTTGCTCTTGCTTTTCTACTCTGAGAAATATGATACATTACTAGTATTTCTATGTTTCAACATCGTTAATGTTGCTGGTGCTGGAAGCAAACACAACTCTTTCAACAAAAATAAATAGCAAATAGATTGGATTGCTGAATTTTGCCCAGAAAAGTCTACATATCTGTTCAGATGCAAATGCAGACTCTACTGGAATATTGAACATGTTTACAGTTCAATCCTAAAGTAGAAATTACTGCTGTCAACTGTTTGGTAGTCTTTACAGAAAGAAACCTTTATTAACAGTTTACATGTGGGCATTTTGAACATGGCTCATTCAATCTTATTACATGCAAAAGTTCAAGCATATATAGCAGGTATATATTACTTAATATTTTGGTTATCTGTTTGGTCCTCGCTACTTTACCACTGGTTCAAAATTAGTGACTTCGTAAATACACAAAATGATATATATTCTAATGACGAATAATATTAGTAATGTTATCATCCGTTGAAAAAATTTCAGTACTCAATAAATTTTTTTAATTATTTTAAAATTAGTACGAATAATTTTTTTTCCTTTTAGTTTTATTATTATAATATTTTGTCTTATTTTTTATTTTCATTGGATCTTGTTCTCATTAATATTTGAGTTGCAGACAGAGCTCTACAAATTGTCGCAGGTATACGTGCCCCAAAGAACGTGTCGAGTTTGTGGTATGGGTTCGAGAGAAAAATAAATATTTTTGACACCGATTAAATTATCTAATTTAAACGTAAATTAAATTGTTGAACAAAAAATTAAATTAATAAAAATAATTGTAAGAAAGGAGTAGAAATTTGGGTGTCAACCTATTATTTCATATATATGGATTAGTACTATTTCTACCTTTATTATTTGATTAAAAAAATTATTTAAATGTGTAACTATTTATAAATCTCTTTTCTCAAATGAGTGAAATTTGACACCATTAAGTACAATTTTAATCCATTCATATATTTTGATTATTTTCCCATTTATCTCTTATAAATAAGTTTTTCTTTATATATATCACATTATCATATTTTATCTTTTTTTTATCTGATTACCGATATACAGTGCTAATACTAATCATGTTACATATTTCTTATATATTAATATTTTTCTAAAAAATGAAAATTATTTTCAGATTAGAATCAATCGAAGAAGAACGAAGGAAAGAAATTATACTGAGATTATCAAACAAACAATAAATGAAATATACAATCAGAATATAAGTTAAAAAATAAAAATAAAATACTAAATGTTGTACACTCTTTGCCTTTTGTTTTTTTAAATATGAAATGGGTGATAAACTTAATGAAAGGATTAAATTGTTTTCTTCATGTTTTGGTAACAAGTTTCTAGCCCTAGTACTGGTGAACATTGTTATTAAACAAAGCAGGCAAAAGTTGATACGTTTGTTGTACCAAAAAATGATAAATTTATGGTACAAGTCAATATATTTAAGACAACCATTAACATTGATATTTTTCTGAGTCACATTGAAAAGCGTGTGAAGTTTACTTGGTCTTGTGAGCTAAGAAAAGAAAAGCACAAAAGAAAACACAAGATCCTATTGGAGGTTATGATAACCGCCAATAAAGCAAAGGACCCACGTTCTAATTTTCTTATTAGGTGAATATGGTCTTATTTTAATGGCAAAAAATGAAGAGCCATTGTTTTCTGAGCTTAGAATTTCAATGCAAGATGGTGTTAGTGAGAAGAGATTCATGATTGATGCCATGTCCGTAGACAGTGAACGTTGGGGTGTCATCATGTCTGTTGAATCGTTTGCAATGAACGACGATGGAATTGTCTCTGATCTTCACTCTCCAATAACCCACTGGTCACAACAAGAATGGAACTAACTATTTTTATATTTATTTTTCAAATTATTCTTACAATATTTTTTACTTTTGTTTTTCAATCAAATTACTTTTTTTTTTACTTTTTCTTCTTCTACCTTTTCATTTCCTTTGTCTTTTTTCCCTGTGGAGATAACACCAAAGCTTTCACCAGAACATACCGATCCAGAATATCTAAGGGTGTGTTCACTTGAGGGTGAGGAATTGAGGAAGAGTAATTGGATGGATTTGAGGGGATTTGAGAGTGAATTAATTATTGTTTGTTTGAGTGGATTTGGAGGTAAATGAGAATGAATTTAGAAGTAAAGTATATGAAAATTAGTGTAGGATTTGATTGATGTGAAAAATTAAAAAAAAAATTTAATTGGAAGAAATTAAAGATTACCAAAATGCCCCTAGTTATTAAAGTAATATAAAATGATAATAGTTAATGTTATATTTAATTGTAAAAATGTTTATAAAGAGTAAAAAATTAACATAAATTATTAAAATTAACTTTTTAAATGTAAAAAATTATAATTTAGTAAAATGAATTTTATTTTAAATATAATATTTTCTGTAATATAATTTACTATCAAATGGTATGATTTTATTTAATTGTAAAAATGTAAAGAAATTGTAATTTTATTATTTCTTTTAAACTTCACAAAAAAAAATAATTGCAAATAAACTTCACTTACATAAACCACTGTTATAACAATTTTATTAGACTCAAATATAAATTTCTCAATTATAAAAATGCATAATTTATAACAGTGAACGAAAAATAAGTTGAAGTATTATTTGGAGTTTGTTTTCTTCACTCCTAAATTAATGATTAAAAAAAAGAGATTAATTGGATGATGGAACAATTTTATGAGTGGTGAAAGAGGTGTGTGAATATGTGATTTACTGGTGCTGTGCTGGAATACGTGTGGAACAGTGAAGATTGAATGAGGGCAAATTAGACTATTCATCAAAAGTTGTTTCAAATCCACACAAATCCGCGCAGAGAGTGAAGATTGAAATTTTCACTAATCTCGCAAATCAGCGCAATGCATCGCTTCTAAATCCATGAAAACGAACGCAATTTTACTCGCAAATCATTGCTTGCAGTTTCTCTTCAACAGTACTTTCAGTGCATGTGAACACGGCCTAAATGTTTATGGAGAACTGAGGAAAGCTTATAACTCGATAGAGATTAAAAAGTTATGAAAATGTATTATACGACCGGTCAATCATGGACTAGGCATTTGTGATGTCAAACAACAAAACATTTAGTCATAATATTAATAAGATTAGTTGTAAAAAATAATTAGGTTAATCCTAAATCAAATTATAGGTACATGAACCCTAATTGGATCAGCTGTAATCAGGTCAATTCTAATAAAAAACTCATCACAAAATCTATAAATACAAATTTGATATTCAGGTAATTGGTTATTTTTGTGATATATTTATGGCAAAACTATTCAAACAAACATTAACTTGAACGTTTTGAGGATATCATATAACTAAATTGTGAGAAAAAGAATTAACATTGAATTCACAAACCCAAATATATATACAAAAACATTTTAAATATATATATATATAAAATGTTAACCTCAATGTTATCCTAGGTTTCAATAATTAGAAAAAGGAAACTAAAAAATACTTATTCTTCGTACATAAAAGATGTAGAAAATACATAAAAATAATTTTTATGTTGTTGTAATTATATAATAGAAACTCTAGTATATTTCTATCAAATGCCTAAAAGTAAAACTACAATAAAATATTTGTATTCTATTTAAAAATCCGTAATAAAATTATGCAATAAAAAATACTTTCACATCATTATATGGTTAACTTTCTTTTAGATAATAAAAATGAAAAAGGTTGTTTAGTAAATATAAAATGCAAAGAATATAGTAGGTAAAAGAAGTGAGCACTAATAAACCGTTACGTTATAATTTTATTTAGTATAAAGTATTCATTACTTTCAGAGAATGACATGTTACATATGTAATAATTAAAAAATTTAATATTAAGTATTTAAATAATAAGACTATATTACTTTAATATTAAAATAATTAAAAGTATAAATAGAAATTTTATTAAGAATTTCGTTACTTAAAACACAAATCATTTCACAAGAAAATTAGAAAGTGTCTAGGTGATTACGAATCATCTCTTCATTCTCTTCTCTCTTCGAGTTTTAACACCTAAGTTATTTTTTTGAAAATCAGAAAGTGTTTAAGTGATCATGACAACAAAATCTTTACTTTTATCCAATCAGTTTTTTCAAAAGATTAAATTAGTTTCTACTCTTTTTCTTGAGCCGTATTTTCTTCCTTGCATGCGAGCAATCTTCTGTTGCATGTGTCTTCCTATCATTCTAGTATGTTCCATGTTGATCAATGGTTCTAACCGCGTACCCTAATCATGATTTCATGGTGTGTAGGTGCACATAGAGCTCTTTAATATGAGGAAGCAGTTTCAGGTCCTTTCAAGCATGTTTTAGCTTCTATCAGGTAAAGGAAGCTAAATGATTTGTTTATAAAGTTTTGTAAGTTTGATAATTTGTTTTGATGTGCTCTAATTGAAGTAAAATTGATTTTATATGGTGTTAAATGAGTAGCTTGCTAAAATATTATTATATGATAGTATGAATGCTTCAAATTAAATTATATGTGTTATCTGAGTTGGAAGAGTATTGTTGTGAATGTTGGTTAATTGTTACTTGTTTTGATCACTAAGATGATATTTTAAGGTTATAATTGGTTGGAATATGCTACTACATCTTGATGTAGTCAATAGGTAGAGTTTTTGGCTAGTTTCTAGTCTACTTTTGGGGTTTTGACAAGTGAAAATCTAAAAGAGTTGGTTTAGGAAGAAACTAAATATTTGGGGTCTGTTTTTGAGTCATTTGTGACTTGTTTAGCCACTTAGATCACTAAAATATGGTTTGTAACATGTAGAATTTAAGTTATGAACTTTTGAGTTATTGGTTTGATCTGGTGGATCTCATTCTTGATCAATTATCATATTGGTACTCAGTTTCAGTTATAAACATGTTTTTGAATAAATTCTAATGTCAAAGATACTAATTTGGTCATTTGCATAAGTTTAGGGTGCAACCAAATCTAAAATCAAATTGTTGTCATCTGATATAACATTAGTGGAACGTGCCACTTCCTAGGATGTTCCTTAGTCTCTTGACACTCAAAGAAAAAAACGTGTGTACTCTTGTGTACCATTGAAGCATAATACATAACTGTTTCTCCATTTGCTACACATGATGTAATTTAAGAAACTTGTTAAATATTATTCAACCGTGTGACTGAGGTGAAAAGCAATATTTGAAATATTTGAATATGTATAATATTCCTTTACCATTTAAATAGTTCATATTATGTTTTTTGTTTTATCATTTTCTTTTTAATCTAAATAAATAGGAGGCGGAGATGAACAAGTAAGAGCATTTTCAACACTAGATTTTTTTTTTTCGAAATATGAATCAGTTCGTCCTGAATTTACCTTTGGAGAAAATAAACTTTATGAAATAAAAACAATTTAGAATTACAGTTTTGGGGGCTGAATTTAAAGTAGAATTAAATTACCAAATATCCTTGAAATGCACCCAGTCACATAAAATGAGAAATGGGTCACTGTCTTCTTTTTTATTATTGTATTAGAAAAGTAGGGAGGAGAGGACCAATGTCACACCATCAATCACATTGTGAACTAGCCAAAATCATCCACCTCATGGGGTCCTAATAATAATTTTTAATTATTTCTATAACAACAAGATTGTAACTAGCTAAAAGTAAATTCAAAACAAAGTTAAACTCTAAACATTAGATTATAATATATAGTTTTTTTTTCTGTAAAACATGGAGATCAAAACACTAAATTTAGAAATAAAAATATTAATTATAAACTTTTAAATGTGATAATGTTAAATTCAGATATTGATTGATCCAATAATTAAATATAAAGAAATAATAAAAAATAATATTAGTCGGAAACTTACACTATGTTTTCTAATACAGAGAGACATACAGTGACCCAGTAGTTGTCAAAGAGGGAAGAATCCTGTTGCTAAGTGCTATTCACCAAAACCAGCTCACACACACATCACACTTCACAACACGCAACAATCATCACATTAGAGAGAGAAAAAAATTGACGAAAAGTAAAAGAAAAACCCTTACTTGCATTGCATTGCATTGCACTGAAGCACTTCCTTCTGTTCCCTCCCAACCAACCCCTCATGCCTTGTCGCTAACCCGACCCGACCCGTTGAACTCGCCGGAAACTTTGTCCAAAAGGGTCTCTGGATTTGCCCATGGCCCTCCATTTCCGACCCTAGAGACCCTTCAAGTTTTGGCCTTTTCTTCTTCGCTCTCCCGTTTTGGGTAATCAATTTCTGAAATCACTGCAACTGAGAGAGCTTTTCTGAGAACTCCTGCCTCGACGATATGTACGTCGTGCCTCCGCCGCAGCGCTCCGATCAGGGGTCGGGATCCGGCGATTTGCGGGTCTACCAAGCTTGGAAGGGTAGCAATGTAAGTTTCACTTCCTACTTGTATTTTTGGTTATTTGCTTCAACAAAACTTGGATGTAGTACTTTTAAGTACTTGTGCTGCTGTTTTTCATTTCATCTTGGCAATCCACAATAAAATTGTATTAAAGTTCAATATAAATTAGATTAGGAAGGTCAAACTCCTATTCTGACTTCAGAGCAGCATGAAAATCACCTAAGCAACTATATTGAAGTCGTCAATTTTCACAGTTTTCTTTTTCTAAAGAAAAGGAGATTGTTGGTGGAATTTGTTAATTGGGGGTGTCACTACTGTCAGAAAATTTCGCTTTCTGCAAGTGCTTTTATGCAGCTCAAATTTTGGTAGCTTATCTATTATTGGTGGTTGTTGTTCTGGTCTTTTCTTTGTGTGGATTTAATTTGTACTGGTATTGGTTTTTTGGGCCAGGTGTGTTTCTATTTGGAAGAGGTTCTAGTTGTTATGTGCTGACTCTGAGATAAATTTGTGTGGATGGATTACTATCAGGTTCTGAAGCAGTGTTAGTGAAATGACAAGTGATGGTAACCCAGAAACCACATCAACTGGTCTCCTTTGTCCGATTGATGTGTTAGGTTTAAGCTGATTTGTTTCCAGTACAATGTTAGAACTGAGTATTGATTGGACTTTTGTGTTGCTTTATTAATTGTTACAGTCTTAGTGAAATTGTTCCAAAGCTCCATTTGCTCTGGAAAAAAAAAAGGGAAGGGATCAGAGGTTTTTGCATTTTTTAAAAACTGTAGAGAATCTTTACTTTTAGATAGATACGTCAATAGATAAATACGCCTGCACACACACACACACACATATATATATATATATATATACATATATATATATATATACACACACACACACATATATATATTTAAAATAAAATATTAAAGCATAACATGGGGTACAAGAAATCTTAGGTACAAGCTACTAGGTCTTCTTATTAACTTTACCATATTCAGTGGTTTTTGAACTGCAGATGATCCGGATCCATTACTAGTATCACTAGTTTTAGTTGCTTCTCACAGTTTCTTTCCCTCCTAAAATTATGCTGCGGAGAATCACAAGCACTTCACTTTTAGGATGATGTGTTTGGAAAGAAAGTCGTCTGAGATCTGTTAAATTTTCAGAACAAAATATAATTTAAATAATTTATTATTCATGTTATTTTAATAAGTCTGTGTCATAGTGTAGTATTATAATATTGGATGATTATGATATACTTAAGAAGTAAGCAAAGTAGAATGAATCAAAACATTATACTCTAAGAACTACTGTGCTCTTTCCTCTCTAATCTTAACCAAACTCAAAGAATAGGTGTAAGGTATAGGGAAATCATTGAGACAGCAATGTTCTGATGGTCTCTCCAAATTGATTACGAAAAACAATGCTAGCCTTCGAGTCTCTACATGATATGATCTACCTTCTTTTCTCCTTTGATATGTGAGGTGTGGAGTCTTGATGTACTTATTGTTCAACTTTCATTTTGTAGCTTGTTTGCTATGCTTAATAAAGAATAAAAAAGTATTATTGCATTGTGATTTGAAATATGTTACAGGATCAATTCATTTTATTACTATGAGGGTGCTTAATCACTGTTTTTATTATTTTCTTGCAGAAATTTTTTCTTCAGGGAAGGTTCATATTTGGACCAGATGTGAGATCACTGGCGCTGACAATTTTTCTTATTGTTGCTCCTGTCTCAGTTTTCTGTGTCTTTGTCGCCAGAAAACTGATGGATGCTTTTTCTGACCACTGGGGGATATCCATAATGGCTGTTGCTGTTGTATTCACAGTTTATGTGAGTCTTTTTCTCACATGTACGATATTTTCTCTCTGTATGTCTTTCAACTGTGTTGGTAATCTTCTATGATTAGAATCATAAGAAGCTCTCCTCTATATTCAACCTCTCACACTTGATTGAAGTGAACTGATTTGGTTGATTTGTCAATGAAATACTGCATGTTTTTAACATCTTTAATTTTTCATATCTTCATTTGTCAATGAAATACTGCATCCTAATTGTAATGATGAAGTTGGGTCCATGGTTAAAGCCAAACATCATGGATTGTTGTCCTCCTTTTAGACCAAAGACAATAGTTTATTAAGGGAGGGAAGAACATCCTTCCCAATGTTGCAAATAGTAATCTTTTAGAAGACTTTTGCAAACGCTTGTTTCATAGCTATTGTGAGTGCAACTCTTTCGAGATATTGTCAATCAGCTTTGACACCAGTTGATAAACACTCAAACACTTTGGAAATTCACTCTCAAATCAAAGGCTAGCTATCAAAGGGAAAAAGCCAAGCACTAAATGCTCTACCAAGCTTCCTATACTAGTCAATGTGGGAGTTAGGCACCCGATATTGCTCTATTGGATTGAGAATTCCCCTTGGATGTGTATATTTTGCTTTAATTCGAGGCACCAAATGAAAGCATATGTAGTGTGTTGTCATAAAACTTTGCGCCCCTTGCTTCTGCAATAAACTTATCAAAAGAAGTTCTCCTAGCTATAGGCACAAACATCAAAGATTGATGGCCACACACACACATAGAAGCCTACTCAATATGTAATCTGGCCATGACGGTGACCTGTGTGAAATGCAATTTAAAAGAAAGATTTTGAGGCAGTTTTGGGATTCTGAAGTAGCTTCCCTGTCAAAAGTTTCTTCAAATCTCCATTTTCTTTGGTCCGTTCATTGAAAAGGAAATCTTATGCTTGTACACCTTTTCCTTTTGTGTGATTCTATTCATTTGTCTTCTAGCTTAGATAATGGATTCACTTGGTATTAAAAAATAACGAAATTTTATCAAGAAAATTGTGTAATATGTCATATAGTCTAGTGTTATGGTGGTGGACTGTAGATGCATCAATGTCTTGATTATAGTTTAGACTGTGGCTTGCAATGGTAATACCATAATACATCTACAACTTTACATGGCTAAATGACTTGTGTATCTGGAAAATTATAACTATAGGATTTAGGGAGCCAATGTGGAGGGGTCTTGTAGGATTAATGCAGTTGTCGTTGACAGTATTCATTTTATGCAATGTAAGGTAGCATGTTATAGTACACTTGGTTTAGGCAATTTTATCTTTGTTTGATTAATGTTTGGGTGGACCATCTCTACTATTGTTGTTAGTGACATATCAAACTTGAACTTTCTAGAGGCTATAATGAAATATAGCGTTAGAAGGACTAAAATTAGTACAGATGGTGCTTTTTGTTAAGTGAAAATTGTATTTCTTACATGCGAAGAATTTATTTTGAAAGGTGTAACAAACCAAAAAATATAGTGATAAAAGTGAACAGAAAATGAAGTTACTGTGAATTGGATGTTATTTGCAATTAAAAGGAAACTACATAAGGAGGAAACCTCCAATTGCCCAGAGGATATCTCCTATAACAGAAAATCACATAATCACCCTCTTCCCTTTTGCCTCATCAGACTAAATAACAAAAAATACTCTCCCACATCTAACAACCTCTCTGCTATACTAGCTCTCTTATGTAACAACCTCTCCATTTACTCTTGCCACCTCAGCTTCAGGATTTCCCTTCTTTTGTGCACATAAACCGTCCATACCTTAGGTGTCAGATGCCCTTCATGGACCAATGGCTCTTTCAGCCCATAAACTTGTTAGGCTCCAACAAACGGTGAATTTTGATATGCTACAGACCTACACCTAGATTCTAGTTCTTTATGTTCATGTCTGGCTTACTAGTTACCAGAGTGATATGCTTTGTTTCCAGCAATCAACTTCTTGTTTATTACTTATTTGTTGTTTGGTACTTATGTCATATGATAGGGGCATATCACTATCATAGTTTGCACCTAAAATATGTTCTCTCCAACCTATGCTGATGCTTCAATATTTTCAGGTCTTAGTTCTTCTTTTGTTAACATCTGGCCGAGATCCAGGCATAATTCCGCGCAATGCACATCCTCCAGAGCCTGAAGGTTTGGACAGTAATCTAGATGTTGGTGCTGGACAGACTCCTCAACTGCGGTTGCCTCGCTTTAAGGAGGTTGAGGTCAATGGCATCCCTATTAAGATCAAGTATTGTGATACTTGCATGCTCTACAGACCTCCTCGTTGCTCACACTGCTCGATCTGTAATAATTGTGTGGAAAGGTTTGATCATCACTGTCCTTGGGTTGGACAGTGTATTGGACTGGTAAGTTGGATTTCTTGTCTCCTAACCTAAGTGTTTTCTTTTTCTTTTTCCTTTTCTTTTTATTCCCAGAATGTTTTGGGGAACAGTAACTTGATCTCGTTATTAATGGTGACAGACTTTTCTGAGTCAGCTTTGAACTTATTGAATTGTTCATAATTGCATTTTATACATGATTTCTCCTGAGAAAACTCGTTTTATAAATTTATTAAATTCTATCTAGCTTTAGTTTAATTTTACTTTCAAGTTTATTATAGTTGGTAATTCATGATATAATCTAGCTATAAATAAAGTGTTAACTTGGTGGGTGATCTTTAAACAGTGTTAGGTATTTAAGAGACCAGATTTTCTCCCACAGTTCCCAAATTCACAGATAACTCCTCTCATTCTCAAACCTTCTTATTTATGGGCAATTCAACTCCTACCTTATTAACTCTTACTCTCTCAACTCCAATATGCGAACTAACAGAAACTCTCTCTTCAAATTGTATCCTCTATAGTTTCGTGCCTCATAAACTGATCATACAAATATATTACAGGGAATATAGGCTAATTTTCCTATTCTTTGGTTCAGAACATGTTGCAAATGGTGACAAGCGATGTGTGATTTATTGATATTAGACAGGAGGAGTGCTACCCTTGCCTCCAATAAACTAAAAACAATAGCCCCTCGATTATTTTCTTAAGTTTGCAGCTTGAACTTGTGTTCATTTTTTATGACTTCCTCGATATCATTATTTATTTTTCTCGGGATTACTGTTCAGTTATCATTTGTTTTGTGTCATTCTTGAATATAATTGTTTGCACATTGTTATGCAGCGTAATTATCGGTTCTTCTTCATGTTTGTCTTCTCAACTACGCTACTATGTATATATGTTTTTGCATTTTGCTGGGTCTATATTGTAAGAATTATGGCGGCAGAAGAGAAAACAATTTGGAAGGCAATGATAAAAACTCCAGCCTCCATAGTGTTAATAATTTACACCTTCATATCAATGTGGTTTGTAGGAGGCCTCACTGCCTTCCATTTATATTTGATTAGTACCAATCAGGTAAGCACTGCTCTTTTTAATCCACATGCTTTAGATGTAAGCTAGTTTTCAGATGTGTACAGCATGATGTTGGCTCCTTTACTCTTGCAGACTACTTATGAAAACTTCAGATACCGATATGATCGGCGAGCCAATCCATATAACAAAGGAGTATTGAATAATTTCAAAGAGATATTCTGCATCAGCATTCCCCCGTCAAAGAACAATTTCAGGGCAACAGTGCCAAAAGAACCAGCATTACCTACTCGATCAGTGGGTGGAGGCTATATGAACCAAAACATGGGGAAAGTTGGGGAGGACATAGAAATGGGAAGGAAAACAGTATGGGACATGGGTGCTGGAATTGAGGATTCTGAAGCTCAATTGAGCAATGACCGTGTGGCTGTAAAGGATGGTGAATTGTCTCCTGAAATCAGGACAACAGTTGATGACACAGACCGTGCTGGAATGCATCCTCGGCGATCTAGCTGGGGAAGAAAAAGTGGAAGCTGGGACATGTCCCCTGAAGTTTTGGCTTTGGCAACCAGGGTTGGGGAACCAAACCGTGTCGGCGGAGACAGCAGTAGTAGTTTGACACTTGACAATCGTCGTGTGTAGCCAAATAGCATGGCCGAAGGGACCTGGAAGATTTGATTTTACAGTCATGATAAAAGAAAATATTACATTGTTCATGTGGTAAGTCTACGCCAAAATCACTTGCAATATGGGGTTGTAGGCATTTGCAAGGTGTTTGTTAGTGTGTTTTAGGCATTCTGCTTCTAAGAAGAAATTGTTTGGTGTTGCTTGAAGTTGTATTATGCAATTAATTAGCCTTTGCACCTGTGGAAGTTACTGCACCTCTCTATCTCTCGGTGGCTGAAGGCTAGTGACATGAAATATCCTGGAGGAAATCAATGATGGACCAAGGGGAATTGTTCTAACTTATCTTGATGCTTGAGTTAAATGTAGTTGGTGTGTTAGGATGAGAAACTTAATGAGACAGATTTGCCATTCTACTTTTAAGTAGGAACATTGCATACCATGTATAATTCCATAATGCTTGTGTTACAAATACAATCCATGGCTTGAAAAACAAACAGTTTTTATTATTCTTTTCAATCAGTTATCTGTCAGAAGATGTTTTATTCATTAAGTTTATATTGGATTAATTGTTGAAACTAAAACTTAGATCAATTCCTGCTTGTACTGTTCTTCAATTAGATTTAGAGTTACTAGTTACCAGTTATGAAACATTGATTATTTTCCAAAATTTTAAACCAATGGTTGAGTTACAACTTAATTCCAATGTTAAACATGTTCAATTTGATTGGGGTGGAGAATGTAGACCCTTTACAAATTTCTTCATATGCATCATTAAAGTACTGTTGTTGAAATGAAACATGGTTGAGATTAGTTTTACCATTACTGTGTATATCAGATGAATAGGCTTCCTACAACTTTTCTAAATTTTGTATTTCATACTCTCTTCTCTTTAATAAAGATTCAGATTTTTATTTTCTGAATAAATATGGATTTAGTGAATAAATTATTATATTTCATTAGACTTTATTTTCAATTTAATTAGTTTTTTAAAATACAAATATGAAAGCATAGAAGTTAAAACAAACACATTCCATACAAAGGGAATAATTTCTTTGTGATAATGTTAAATTTTAATTTTTTTACCTCAAACCCACTACATAAATAATTTGTGTTGAATCACTAATTTATATCATTAGACAAGACTCTGAGATTAAAATGAACTTTTACAAATCTTAATAATTAAAAAAATAGACTGTCTAATATTTAAAACAAAAATTTCTAATTAGAAATATATATATATATATATATATATATATATATATATATATATATATATATATATATGAAGGTGCTTATAACTTTCTAGCAATTAATTAAACTTCCATTTATATTTCCAGTAGAAAAAAATTGTTTGCTGTTAATCTGGAGATGAACAATTTGTGTTGAATCTGGAATTCGTTAGCTCTGAATATGTTCTGCCAGAAACATCACAAAGAAACGTCAGCAAAAACTTGGTATGTGGCAAAGAATTAGAACATTTTGACATTATAGCACCTCGTAAATATGTTTATTTATTGATAATCGTCCTCTGTACATTCAGCATCTCACCATGGTAAAGGTAAAAGTTATCATAAAATGTGAAAGATATTGATATTAAAAAGGTTTGATTGGGAGTCTGTCAGACAATCCTGCAACCATCCCTGGCTTGTAAAGTCAGTGAACGATCCTCTACAGTTGATGATGAGTCTCGTCCAGAAGGAAAGCCTCACACTACCGTTAATCACGCTCTGATCACAGGACTATGGTTCATCCACCAGACTTCAGTTCCTGTCTCCTTAGAACTTAAGGATACAGAGGTACTAGCCTATAGAACAGATCCTGTTCAAGTAAGGTCGTGGCCAAGTTTGTCAGCTGGCCATTTATAAATGTACTTTCTTTTCATAGCTCTTTCAATGTGGGACTATATTAGTTGTTTGCATGGTGAGTAGTTCAATCTGAAGATGCTTTTGATGAGATTATTTATTTTGATTATGAAAAATTGATAGGAAATATGTTGGAAGGTTTGGCCTAGAAAGATTTTAGAGGAAGTAGATGGATTGGCTTTATGGATTTTTATTTTTGTTGCATCTCGTGGCAAACATGGTATGTTGTCTCTGGAGCTCATGGTGGTGTTCGAATTCATCCATTGTTTGCTTTCATTAATTTCTTCAAACATATCACTGAAGAGACACTCATTTGTGCAAATTGGTTGTTGGGGCCGTGTGTGGAACAGTGTCTCTGAATACTACGAATGCCCTGTAAAATCATTCAAACCCGAAGAATATATTTATAAAAAAATACAAAAAACTTGGAAGAAACTAACCTGTACTGAGAAAAAAAAAATAAAAAAAAATTTGGACCATTTCTCGATTTGTGCGTGTCATCCTTGCGCAGGGGCCATGCTAATCTTCTCTGTATCGTTCCAATTTTATCGGATGTCCCCGAAGGGACAAGCCGGTGTACAGTCTGCATCTTTATAAACACTAAAGTTTTAGTGAAACTATACGTTGTGGGACTCTAATGGGAATAAAGTGGAAGAAAACTAGAATATGTTGAGTAACATGATCCACCGGAAATACAGAAGAAGATATTATTTATCGCATTTTCTGAAACACGACAATAAGATAAGAGGATTTCACTCTAAACACTGCTAACTCAGCTTCCCTCCTAGCCTCATCATTTCACACTGCACCCTACTTTTCATTTCACAATTTTTCTATTTACTTCTGCTATTCTTCTTTATTTTTTCTCTTCGGTTTTCTTAACTGTCATTTTGCTTTTATGTACTTTATCACCATTTATCATTTTATATTATATATTATGGCAGTCATATTATTAACCAGTATTATTATACATTAATGATTTTTTTAGAATAATTCTAATCTTCACTATATGTTTAAAATTAACTCTAAACCATAATTTATATAAAACTCACCGTCTAATTTTGAAAAGTAGACGAAGTATTCTTATTTTTTTTACAACGTATTTTGACAAAAAATGAAAAGACGGTTTCCTTCACCCATTCCATATAATTATTCTTATTTATGACTCAATATTGATGTAGCAAAGGAACCAAACGGTGTTTAATGGATGGATCTAACGATTATGAGTGTTAACCGTCCGATACATAGTATATATCATACATTTTTTAGAAAGAGAAACTTGAAAACAAGATGTGGTATTGGAAAATCTAAACAAGTCGAATTATATATTAAATTTCAAAATAAATATGATATTTTTTTTTAAAGTTTCAGACCAAGACGTGGTTTTCAAAATATTCTAAAATTGAATGTGATAATTTTATCATCACTTTAATAAAACTCTAAAACAGATGTGGTATTGAAAATAAATCCAAAACAAGTCAAAATGTATATTAAATTTGAAAATAAATTGTGTCAGTCTTATAAAGTTGTTAAACAAGACGTGTTTTCCAAATATTCCGAAAATGAATGTGGTGTTTTTATCATTTCTTTAAATTTTACAGTAAACAGTGGATTAAGTATAATAAATATGAACATATTTCGTTTATACTAAAAAAAGAAAAAATATAATTTTAGTTGAGATAATTGAACACATACTTTTGACTTTAATAAATCTCATAGTATTGTTTTGATTATCTGTCAAAGTCAATTGTTTGAGTTTTGTTATATTGTTATTTTAGTAAGTGATTTTTTGTGTGTCTAAATTAGTTGGATAATATCTTCATAAGGTACTTTGATGTCATAGTGAGTTCAATATTTGACAGATAACAATTAATGTAACATGTAATGTATTTAACCTACTTTTTTATCTCAAACTTTTATTTGTAGGTTTCATGATGAGTTTTTTTATTAACATTAACTTCAATTGTGAGTAGTTATACTTTATTCTTAAGTTGATTAGTATTAGGGTTAATCTATTTTATCCATCCTGATCAGTCCAATTAAAGGCTAAACAGTGTGTTTGGTGATCATCTAGGCTTTGTGGTCTACTCTCTAAATTGATGACTTATTCGAGTTGGTGCATGATCGGCTGGTCTATTTGGTGGTCGGTTGTGCTTGGTGGGCTACTCACCAAGTTGGTGCTTAATTAGTCATCCGAGTTAGTATATGATTGGTCGACCTATTTGGTGATTAACACCAGCTTAGTGACCTGTTTACTGAGTTGGTGCTTGACTATTCGAGTCGGTGTATGGTCAGTAAGTCAAGCTCATTGGTTTGCTCTCTAAACTGTAGGTAACTATCTAGACCGATTCATGACTGGCTGACATGTTTGACGATTAGTTGAGCTTGTTGATTGACCACTTGAACTATAGTTAATCGTCTAAACTATAGCTGACCGGAAAATCATGCGATACACATATTTATTAAAGATAAAATTAATGTTAACATGCAAATAATTACATACTGACATTAGTTTTTCTATAACAAAAACACATGTAATAATTATTAAAGATAAAATATGTGTCTTAATTATCTTAATCATTAACATAATTCAACAAAATTAAAATTATAAGGTTTTTACTATATTAAAAATAAAATATTATCAAATTTATTGTATTAAACTTTATCGCCACTTTAATAAATCTCTAAAACAATAGATGGTATTGGAAAGCATCTAAACAAGCCAAATTATATTGAATTCCAAAATAGGACGTGGTATTCAAATTTTCTTAAACAGTTTGATTATGAAATAGGAAATGACACCTACCGTAAGTAGAATTAAATTGATAGTATATATATAGCCAACTTATCTTTCTTTGAAGTCACCTATATTTTTTTCTTATAGTTTGTTGTAGGAGATGGCAAATTTGCATATGAATTCTCCCAAAACAATTATACTTATTGTTGTTTTGGCATTATTTACTAATAATGTGATATCAATTGCAACTCAGTATTACTCGTTGCAACAAAAAGAATATGTTGGAATTCTAAAAGAGATTAAAAAGTCTTGGAATGGTTGTGTTTATCGGATAACAAGATTAAGTCCGGAAGGTCCAGATCCAAGTCACCACGACACACCTCCAAAGTCACTACAAACGTATCAAGTGAAGTTAATGAGAGTGAAGCTCGCCACAATCAAAATTCAAACAGACAACTTTCATATTTCCATATTACATTCATGTGCTTTCATGAACTTTCTATGTTTCTTTAAATAAAGTGCCTCTCATCAACTTAAATTATATCTAAGATATTTTCATTTTGATCAATGAAAAAAACCAATTCAAAATCAAGTCTAATTGTAAGAGAGATAAAAAGATAAAATTTGTTCAATTTGAATTATTGTTCAACGCTCAAGTTATAAGAAAGGGAAAAAAATGGAAATTAAGTTCGTAACAAGGAATAACAAATTAAAAATATTTTATTTAGTTAGTTAAATTACTTATTTTTCTATAATAAAGAAAATATAAGTAAAATATTAATAACATAAATTTGATGACTTTTTTAATATTTGTTGTTGTTCACAATTATTTTAACTGTGATTTTCGATTTCTTTTATATGAAAGATCAACTTATAATTTAAGACCACGTATTCTAATTTTTATACTATTTTTTCTTCACTTACTTGATTTTAAGAATAAATATATAATGTTTATATAAGTCCTATGGATAAAGGGGATGATGGTTGAGTTGCAAAGAGGATAAATTTTCAATACGTTGAATATCTAAAAACTTGTAATAATTTTTTTTCAAAGCGAATGTCTAAATGATGTTAGTGAGAGAGAATGTTGATAACGTAAGAACAATAACAAATTTTGTTCTTATTCTTTCTCTTATGCAATCCTTTTTATATAGATTTCTTCAAAAAATATTTGTTACTTAGAATATTGACTTTTATAGAGGGTGGATAGTCTTAGAAAAAAGCCTCATTCTATTAATAGTAACATAATGATACATCATGATAAATAATAATCATAATACCAACTATTAAGATTAATAATCATAATACCAACTATTAAGATTAGTTATAATATGTGAATATTGTTTCAATAAATATAGATTTAAACTATCAAAGAAGCTTAATTGGATAAAAACAATTATCAATGTTAATATTGTCATAAATAATATTACTGATATTAATAATAAAAACTAAAATTATTAAAACTTATGACTTATTAATAATAGAAAGTAAAATTATTAAATCAATTGTTAAATGTACGCGGGAGATAGAAACTGTTCATTAATATTTTAAAAAATCAATAAATAATTATATTAAAAATAAAAAAAATAAAAAAAACAAATGTGTACACAAAAAGAAGGTATCTTATAATTATATATTTAGAAATTAAAAGATTATTCTTTAAATTACTTTATTAGTATAATTAATATTAATATTGTCATAAATAATATTATCAATATTAATAATAAAAATAAAATTGTTAAAAAGATGAAATTGTTAACTAATTTATTTAATCTATCTCTAAGTACACTATACAGCACTAACGACTTGATGCAATTCTGAACATCCAAAGGTTCAGAAGTGACTACTAACTTCATGGAATGTTAAAGATTTGTACTATGCTCATCATCCTAGACTAAAAATAAATCTAACCGAGTCACATTTTTTTTCGTTTACTCGTTTTCTACATTTAGCCAGTGAACAGCTTAAACACTAAAAAAAACACATTTTTACAGGTATAAAACTTGTATGACTACATTTAAATTGATAAAAAGATGGAGTAAAAAAGAAAAGAAAAAGAATGAGGCAACAAATTCTATACTAATAAATTATTATGTTTAATACCGTAAAGAATACAATATGTGACTTGCAAAGGCTACAAATTGAAAGTGATGGTTCTCTCAACATTTTTCCTTGAACTACAGTGATTTTGAAGGGAATCGAAATCAACTGTGCCAAGAACAGACAGTGTGATGCCATAGGCAGCAAGACGATTAATATCCTTTGGAATAGGAGACTGCATTAGGCCGTCCCACCAACCGGGAGGGAGAATTGGTGTGAAAGCACATTGATTGGTCTGATTATGACAACTTAACTGTCCAGCATATCTGTTCCACACATGGCCCCACCCAATTTGATTCTTTAAACCTTCCGTCAAAATATTACTCTGGAAACTGCTCAGAAATGAAAAACTTGAACCAGTCGAGTTCTCTCCTGAACATAACAGTTTGCAGATGCTTCAATGGTATATTTGAAGAAACAAATTAAAACAAAATATAGTGAGTACAGTGCATTTACCCAGATTCCGTGTTGCAGCCAGTGCAGCGATTAACTGAGCATACGTAGTTCCAACACGACGTTGAGCTCCAGAGACAACAGCATATTTGGCACGAGATGCAAGAAAGAAATCCACAAAAGCAACCCATCTGGGTGCTGGACCCCAATCCTTCACTCTAAAATCTTTCTTGGGCAAATCTTCAAAGGCATTTCCTTTGAACTTTTTATAATCAAAATAAATAACCTGGTCCAAAAAGTTGCATCATGTTCAGATAGTAAGCAATAATGAAGAAAATTTATTTACTACAACAGATAGCCAGCTCTAATTTCAAAGCAGTAATTTCCATTGTTACTAGTGATTTGTTGTACCCAAAAAGATTCACACCATGAACTGAGAACTTACCTGTGCGAATTCGCTAATGTTGGGCACAATACTTTCAACAAGAGTAGGTGTATCTGACACCACAACCACCTTTGGTCTTGACATTAGGTGCTGACTCTCTATGGCTTTTTTTATGCAATGTAATGCAGCCTGTACTGCTCTGATGGACCTTTTAAAAATGACAGAAAAAGCATCAATCAGTCAAGAACATCCTGCGAGAAGGTTGAACTTCATTCCTATCCCCCCAAAAAAGAATGAACAGAAAACTCGGTATGTTACGTAGATAGTGCGTACATAGATAGTGCGTCAGATATGCATGCAAAGCTATTTTATTATAAGGCTAGGCCTTTCGTTTTATGTTTTTTGGTTTTTGTGATATTCGTATATTTGAAGTTACTGATATGCCATTCAAGAGGCTATATTATTTGATATCTTCAAACAGAAATATCATAATAGACGGCGTTTGGGTGCCTCAACAGCCAGAGAGTCTATGCATCTAAAATGTATTCTTTAGACCTTTTCTTCGTACTTGCCTGGTAGCTGAATGGACACACACTACTCAGGTTTCAAAGAGATAGGGATATTAGCATAAGGTAATGGAAACAAATTTGCTACCTAGCAATATTTTGTTTGACTTCTTGGCAGGCCGTGTATAAAAGTTTTGGAGCTAAGCCAAAAGCTTTTATAGAAATTTAATATAATATGAATTACAAATCTTTATATTCTAGCTTTTTTAGATCAAAGTTTTATAATCAAGCAATTCTAACATCTCGCTTAAAAGAGATAGGATGATTAATCCATTCAATCTATCTTATAACATTGTTAATCTAAGATATGATTTAAGCTATTTTAATTTAAAGAAACTTTTCTCAACAGTTACTGTTATTGTTAATAATACTTTATAAGCAGGTGCTTTTACAATCAAATAAAAGTCAATCGTCTAGTGCAATGCACCACTGCACCATTCGCCTAGTACACATACCAACTATTCAGCTGCATAGAAAATTGAACAGAATAGAGTATAGATCGAGTTAGTTAACCCAAGTCATCTCTCAACAAATTCAAGTAAAAATTTCACTTAAAACAGCACTTATAGGAATCTGCAGAAATGTTAGAAGCATAAAAATAGTAAAATGGTGGTTTTGAAAAGAATAAAAATAAATATAAAAAGATAGGTTGAGTCTCCATAAACAATTTTTTCATTGACTATAATATGATTATTATATATTAATTTATAAACAAAGATCTCAAATTAATTAAATAAGCATCAATTAATTTGTTAAGACTCTCACTTGTTTCAATGTCTACAAGTGAGACTCTATTTAGATTCGGCATGTTCAAATAATCCAATTTTGTTACTATTCTTATGGATACTCCTAATACTTCAATTCTAAAAACAAATCAAGATAATTAATATCTGCACTAAAACTAGAAAACTGTTTAAGATTAAGATAATATTTTTGTAATTCATTTTCTCATTTAAAGATTTAAATTTTTTAGATTCAAATAAAATTAAAAATGATTCCATACTGTAAAAATTATTTAAATCAAGTTTCAGTAGAAGAAATAGATTGTTCTGATATGTAAAGAAAATATTCAATAGAAAAATATTCTTAAGCATAATGTGTAATGCCATCTCATAACATTTTCATCAAATTATGACTTTCTAAAGATTATTCGTCTTTCACGAAATTTCAGCTTTACTTTCATTTCAATGGCCATTTTTTGGTAGAGAACAAAGTCAATGCAAATCCATTTCCCCACAATATTTTAAATAAACAATAAATAAGGCCTCTTAAATTATCTATATTCATATACCTATCACCAAATGGTAGAATCTCACTAAGAGAATTAATAGCAAACAAAATATCATACCAAATATTCATTCCTAAAAAAATTCAAAATTTTGAATCTCCTTAGTTGTTAAACACAACTTCACTTTTTAAATTAAGATGTTCACAAGATTTTGGTAATTGAATCAAATAATATGTCAACTTTGGTGCTTGAAATTTTATTGTATTCACACTTTCAATTCTATTTTCTCATTGATATCTCGAACATAAATCCCATATCACATAAAACTAAGTTCAAATTATGGCATCTACATGATATATAAATTGCTATAAGATTTACTTTCAACAATCTTTGTTGCACTTCTTGATTTTCATCCTTCATATTGCGCCCATGATCATAACCTTGTCCCCTTACATCATCAATATCAAGTTTATTTTACCTTAAAACAGCTAATTAGAATAACGACCATTAATAGTATTACCTAAAACTAGTAATTAGTTATGAAGTACCAACTCCAACTCGACACAACACTAACATTAATAGTATTACCTAAAACTAGTAATTAGTCAAAGAAGAGAGGTTCAGACATGTGTATGAGAAAGTGGAAAAAATGTGTCCAACAATAGGTTTGACTGTTGCATATGTTTCACATATTCTAATACCCTTTTAAATGGCATAGCTTTTGAACAATGTCTTAGAAAGAAAAACATATATTGCCTTGATGTCGAAATCAATTGGCTATCATATACACACTTGTAATATAACTATATATAAGTGCCACAGTGAAGACCACAAACAAGATATAGACGTGTTTGATTAAAAAGGGGAAAAAGAGAATGAGCATTATACACATGTATATAGGGTCAGTATTCTTGTGTGGGTATAGGAGGGGGTGGGGGTAAGAAACAAGAATAATGATACCAATCCCAAACCAAAGCCAACTAGTTGCTATTCAAAATTATAACTTAATTCATGTTGAAATAGAAAAAGTTGAGAAGGAATATCAAATGCAAGCTTAACTTCTAAGAGTAACTCCAATAAAAGGTTCTTATAAGAGCTCCTTATCAATAAAAACATTATAATGTGAGTTACACAACCATGGATTCCTTAAAATTAAGAAAGTTCTTTATATAAGTAACTCTCTTCAATTTTAAAGAATCCATATTTGTGGGATCCATTCTAAAATAATGTTTTTATTGATAAAGAACTCCTAAGAAACTCCAATTGGAGATGGTCTAATATGTTTGTGTATAATGTGGGATATTTATATGTAATTAATTATGCAGTGTTTGATTTCATTTTCCAATGCAATTATTAGATAGATTCTGACTTTCAATTCTTATTATTAAAGCTACTACATACCTAACTTAATAGTTTATTGAGCAGGTAAATACATAACAAGAAATATGACCATATAAGAGTATGCCTCACCAGCTTCATTCCTCATGCAATGATATTAGAGTTTAATTATGTATTACCTATTCATAAGCATCCGCATATGCAATGAGATGTCAGGATTCTCCCCACCACCAATAACCCAATTGACAGCTGCCTCGACATCTTTTGAAGGGGATACGAGAACCCTCATGATCTCTCCAAATACATTTGGTTGAGATCCCAGGACTTGAGGATCCCCAAATAAATCAAAAGCAGCCTTCCTCATCTGAGAGTGTATATTTTTCAAGAAAAATTGAGCTGCCACGGCATCTGTGGTTCCTTGAAACCTAAAATATAAGGTCCATACTCATTACATGATGCTTGAAAGACTAACAAGTAGAAAAACCATGTCACTTTACCAAATGATAGGTTGCTTCCATTCCTTCCAATTGCTACAGAGAACATTTGTTTGAGCTGGCTTTTCAAAATCATCTGTCCTCATAACCAGTTGCCTCCCATATTTGGTTCCACAACCATTTTCTCTCCACAGATGTTTTATTTCATTCATTGTAAAAGTATAGTTGGAATAAGAAATGTAATCCCCAAAAGGATATTTGCCTCTGAAATATACAACCAAGGTGGAAATCAGATAATGGAAAGACAAATACAGACAATAAATTGCAAGACCAAAGCAGTTTCACAAATCCTTTAATGGTAGACAACTAGGTTTTCATATCTGAGTGGTTGTAAACACATCTATGTGTTAAATGACAAAGATAGGTTTCCATTCAACTATTGCGAAATTGTTTTTGGAACAAGAAATCAAGACAAGCTTAAAAAATTAACACGTTTATATAACAAGCATAGCCAGTAAATGCTCTTAAGGTAGTTAAATTATCTCCTTAAGACTGAGGCTAAGTGATTCAGATATCAGTTTTCTATAGAATTTTTCATGCAGAAATAGTCCGAGTTCAGAGCCCCTTTATTAAAGGGACACCACCAAACCAACCCTAAAATAAACTACTAGTTAGGACTTCATATATCCATCAAAAAAATGTTAACTCTTAAAAATGAAAAAGAAAGGCTTGGGAAAGAACCAATATGCCTGGTTTGGCCAATGATCAAGGACCGGTTTAACATTATACTCAGTGCTGCAGCAGTTAAGACCTTGTACATTTCGTTCCCAAAACCTGCCTCTGCAGTCTTTCCCAGAACAAATCCATGACTACAGAACTGCTCCGGTGGCAAATCCCTGATTCTCGAAGCACCTGTAACAAAAGTTTCAACATCTTCTGATTCAAGAACTGTTTTTGCAGAAGCACATGGTTCCTATTCACACATTTATGCATTGAATTTCACTGAGAGGTGCAAAATTATAAATTGAGATGATTTTCAGAAAAAATTAGGATGTAAAATTGAATAGTGAAAAAAATAGATTAGATAATTACTAGTCATAAATGATCCATAAACAAGCAAGTACATACTTTCACAGCTGAGCAATTGTCTTGAGAGTAAACTAGATGTATGATGATTGAAAACATTAGAAATGTGTCAATAAGTTTTTACTGAAATATAATGCATTTGTTACATTAGATGTAAGTGTAACTACACTGACAATAATGACTTACTAGAAAACAGCACAATTACTTAAAACCCAAAATGGCACACTATACTCAAACACAAAAACTACGAAGTATCAAAACCATCCATAATCTGTCGTCAAACAACAAGAGACCTTTAGACCGCTCTGAGAAAAGTGGCACCTTCAATCAAAACAAACAACTGAAACTTGGACACGACATTACCAAGTACCAACAAGCTCGCCTTATATTCATTTAAATCCTCCACGCCTTAAAAGAGAAACTTTGAAACAATTGATATTCATCACTCAAAACAGAGAAACTCAAAGAAACAACTGATAAGCTGCAGAAATGGTAAATCAAACGCAGAACAGGGAAGCACCGTTCAGGACGAAGTGATCCTCGATAATTCTCCTCACTCTCAGCGTTTCCTTCCCAACAACACCATTTTCGAAATCCTTCCCCATTTCCTCCACCGTTGCGCACGGTTTATCTCGGACGAAGCCCGTGCCCCCGTCATCGGAGCTCGAGCTGTCTGAATCTCCGAGTTTGACATCCCTAGGAAAATCGACAGTGATTGGAGGATCCAACGGCCTCAGCGCCAGCATCAACAATCCCACACTGGTCACCGTCGCACACAGAACCAGAAACGGTTGCAACAGCATTCGCCTCTTTCTACCTCCGCCATATCTCATTCTCTCTCTCTATCTATCTCTATCTTTGTCAGTTCAATTTCGATATTTTTTTTTTGGAAGTTATCAAGTTCAGCTAACTCAGCTCCCTGTTAAGCCGGATCTGAAGTGGTATCTCAAATCTCAATCACTCTTTGTTTGGCATAACGCGTAGCATCGAGATTTATCGGGTTTGGATCCGACCCGGAATAGCGTCTTATTATTGAGATCCGAACCCGCTCGTTGCGGTGAGTGGCGCGCATTACGCACCGCCTCCGACAAACAAGGCAATAATAAAAGCGGAAAGGTCCATCTCTCTTTTTCTCTCTCACTGCCCATCCCTATCAATTCAACGAACCGTAGTTAGTGAGAAGCACAAACGAAACGACGTAGGAGAAAAAAATAAAAGTAACGTCAACGGTCAACCACTCAACCCACAGAAACAATTATTCAATTATTATATTACTTTCTTAAATCAAAAGAAGACAAACGTGTGATTCTCCTCAGCATACGCATTTGTCACTTGTAAACACTTTTTCTTTTCTCTTTTATCTATTTCGCCGAGGAGTAAAACATAACCGTCGTCTCCGTAACTAACTACCTTCATCATGGAGAATAATAACAACGCTGGTGACACGCTGCATCCACCCGGTGCTAAACATGACGGTGCCGCCGCCCAAGCCAACCCGTTGTCCCCGACGCGGCATGGTCAGGCGGAGGAGGAGCATAAGAAAGAAGAAGCCGCCGCGTCTACTCCGACAAGCCTCGAGAAACTTGCTCAAGAGATTGACCAATTCGCGAGGAGACTAAAAACCGATGGAAATGCGCACAACTTTGAGATTCCTGAATTCACTGAGAGATACTTGGATCTCGTGGAAGAGAAGATAATGAAATACGACGCGGGTGAAGGTAAACCGAGATGGGGTGAGGTGTCGGATGAAGATTCGTGGTTGTTGAACAATGCGAATAGGTTTTCAAAACTGATGACATTGGTGACTGGTAATTATCCTGATCATGAACCGGAGAAGATCAGCGGTGCACAAGTCTCGATGATGAACCGCATTTCCTCAATCCACCAGCGTTTGATGACGTATTTGGAGGAGGACTTCCGGTTTCTGATGGAAGAATCAAGAATCCCAACCGAATTGGATCCCGGAGGATATAATCAGAACAGCATCGATACCAAAGGAAAACAACACATGGCGGCATTTGAACAACAACAAGAGGTGGCGCAAGAACAAGATGGTTTGGAACAAGACACGAATTTCCCGGGGTACTCCGAGGAGACAATTACCAGCCTAAGTAAGATCGCCAGCGAGATGTTATTCGGCGGCTACGAATCGGAGTGCTGCCAGGTGTACATCATCTCGCGGAGGAACGCCTTCGAGGAGATTAACCAGAAGTTAGCGTTAGAGAAAATCAGCATCGACGAGATGGTGACGAAGGTGCAGTGGGAGACTATGGCCAGGGACATGATCCCTGCCTGGATCAACACGCTCAAGCAGTACGGGGGAGTGTACTTCCCCGGCGAGCGAAAGCTGACCGAGGCTGTGTTCGCAAACAACCAGGCCGTGGCGGCGGGACTCTTCAGCAGCCTCTCCCGCGGCGTTGTGATTCAGCTTCTCAACTTCGCGGAGGGCGCCGCCATGACGAAGCGAGCCGGAGAGAAGCTCTTCAAGCTCCTGGACATGTACGAGAGTCTCTGCCAGGTGATCCCCTGCGTGGCCAGACTCTTTCCAGAAGAGTCCATTGAGGAGATAAAGACAGAGATGAACCTTGCCAAGTCCAGACTTGGGGAGGCATCCATCCACATCTTCTGCGACCTGGAGAACCAGATTAAATCGGAGACAGCGAAAAACGCCGTCCCCGGTGGCGCAGTGCACCCCCTCACACGCTACATCATGAACTATCTAAACATAGCAGGGGACTACAAGGAAACCCTTGAGCAGGTTTTCAGGGAGCACACGACGAGGGACCGTTCGGGTTCCACAAGCAAGCATGCGGAGCAGAAGAATGAGGGATCTTGGGACAACGAAACACCATCTCCATTCGCAAAACAGACGTTGAGGGTGATGGACCTGCTAGACTCGAGCCTGGAGGGGAAGGCGCGTCTGTACAAAGAGGTGGCGCTTAGCAACTTCTTCATGATGAACAATGGGAGGTACATTCTGCAGAAGATAAAGAGTTCTAAGGAGATGAGCAAGGTGATGGGAGACAACTGGATCAGGAAGAAGTCCTCGGAGCTGAGAAACTACCACAAGAACTACCAGAGGGAGACGTGGAACAGGGTGCTGCAGTGTCTGAACCACGAAGGGTTGACCGTGAACGGGAAGGTTCACAAGCCGGTGCTGAAGGAAAGGTTCAAGAGCTTCAACTCTTTGTTTGACGAGATTCACAAGACGCAGAGCTCGTGGGTAGTGAAGGACGAGCAGCTGCAGTCGGAGCTGAGGGTTTCCATCTCTGCAGTGATTATCCCTGCTTACCGATCATTCGTTGCGAGGTTCGCCCAGACTTTTGACCCGGGGAGACAGACAGAGAAGTATATAAAGTACCAAGCTGAAGACATTGAGACTTACATTGATGAGTTGTTTGAAGGGAAGCCTCACCAGTCAATCGGAAAAAGGAGAACATAATTAACCAACCTACCAAATTCCCTCCACACAGTACATATCGTTTTACCCCACTTTCATCTTTACTTTATATTACGTATATTTTTTCAATTTTACTGTGAAGCAAAAGTAAATAAAAGTCCAAAACAGCAGAAGAAGAAGATGGATGAAGATGATGTATGATGCTCAAAGGAAGTTAGTTAAAGCGTGCTGTGCGGAGCAGTGCAATGCACGTAGCCTGCATGTTGAAATCATGAACTATTATTTTGCTTTGGTGATGCTCTTATTTTATTAGAAGATGCAGAGTGGTCTTGTGAATTGTTTTTGCTTTTGTTTGTACACAGGATAAATGAAGTCAACTTTCAATTCAGAATGGATATCACTTTCATAGATTTTCTCTCATTCTTTTAATTTTTTTTGTTTCACCATTTCTGTTTTGCGCTTAAATTTAGGATGGATGAAAAGATGAAAATAAATGGGAAGACCAGTATACTATAAAAATAGAGAAATAAAAGAATAAGATAAATATAAATAGGAAAATGTAATACATTCAAATGATACACACCCGTGTTATTATAAATTAATTTTTACTTTTACTTAACAATTGGTTTTGTTGTTGGAAGGTTGTGAAAGAATTTTGAGAAGGATAATAAGAGTATTGGTCATGTTAAACATAATAGAGGGAGATTAAAAACGTAAATATTTGAATAGAATATAGGTTATATGCAATTTGGGAGAAGGAAAACTAAAGTTGGAGCTTAGGTTTTGCCAGTGGTGTGAGGGGAAGGAGAAGTGAAGGGGAGTTGCAATTATGATAGGAGGTGAAGACGTTTCCTTAATTGGGCTTGGTTTGTGCTCTATGTAGAGGTGGTAGTGATGTCATGTATCATGAATGGTTCTTCGTTTGGACAGAAATGTGGAAGTCGTGTCTTGGGTATGGTTTTTGTGCTTTGGTGAGTAGGTGAAGTTGTGTCCTCCGTGGGAGTTGTTTGGTGGTTTGAGAGAAGTTGAAGTGTACATATTTTTATTACTTGTTTTGGTTTCTTTATATTGTATTTGACCTTTCGGGTTGTGTTCGTGTGATTGCAAATTGAATATTCCATCAAGTATATTGACTTGGAATTACAAGTGTCATATCATAGGGACAGAAAATACAATGTTTTCACTAATTTGATCTTTTGAAAAACAGTTTATGTGTAGAAAACAAATTTGTATAGGTGATAATGTTGTAAAATCAATTAGAAATCAGTTTAAGTTACTAAATAAATGACCTTTGAATGATCAAACCATGTTGAAGCTTGACTTCACATATTTGTCCTCTTTTGCATATGTTCTACCTCCAAACATACAACTTTAAATTATCAAGTCATGGGAGTTTTCTTGGAATGTAACTCTAAGTCAATTTTTAGCACCTAGAGCCTAATCTATTGCCAGCCTAATCAGTTTGAATCATCAGTGACTACGTAACTAGCTCACCTACATTAAGGTTAAGACTCTATCTCTAGTTGCACACTCTAGATCTATTCCTAGCATATCTAGAAGCCCACAGGATAATTGATTGGATAATAACTTAAGACCAACGTCCACTCAATCTTATGTCAGTTATATATAACAAGTGATAAGTTAATCCAATGTTGAATAAAAAAATCAATTAACAAACCAACATTGAATATTAACTCTTTCAATTTTAGTCTTTCAACAATTTGAATTTTGAATATTATAATGTTCAGGCTTCACTCATCTAAAGATTCTCTTGTATTCTTCAATATGTAGAGTTTATTTCTTGTCTCGTGATGGATTGATATTCATATGACAATATTTCAAAATACTTCCTTGTTTGGATAATTTGATATGCATTCAACTTTACATATATTTAGTGCTGTCAAAATGGTTTTAACTTATGAGCCAACCCGGCCCACCATGGGTTTGAGCCGGGTTGGGTTTGAAAAGATGTATTTTTTTATGTGGGTTAGTTTTCAACCCGACTCACTTAAAACTCGGTTCATCTGGGTTGAACCCGTGGTGAGCCGGGTTGGCTCACCAACCCACCTAATTTAATTTAATTATTTATTATTTTGTGTTTCAATATTATTAGTTACCATTTTTTTTATTATATTGTAGATAGTGATAAAAAAAAGGTTTAATACCTATTTTGGTCCCTACTTTTATGGGTTTGATTCAAAATGATCCCACATTTCAAAAAAGTTCAGTAAGACCCCGTAATTTGTTAAAAAATGTTCAGTCTGGTCCTTTTCGCTCACACCGTTAAAAATCTAACGGTGCAAATGCCACCGTGGTGCAACCTTATTGAGTTGTCAAGTTTGATGAATACGTGGATGTTACACTGTGTAAATATTAAAAAAAAATTAAAATGACACATCAGCTTCCGCCTCCACCAGCTTCCCAAGCACGCCTCTCCCTCCCACTCTGATTCCGCCGGCTCCCACCTCCATTTCCACTCCGACTCCGATGAAGAGGGATACAAATATCAGAGCAAAACCCTTTTATTTTTCATTCTCACACGCCCTAATCTCTTTGTGCACAGATTCTCTGGAAACCCCAAATCCCAAAAACTCAGAAACTTTGTGAACCCCAAATCCCAGAAACTCAGTCTTCGCTGGAAAATGGAGAATAAACTTTATTTGAACCGAAACCTCGCCGAAGAAGATGCGTCGCTGATTCAATTTCTAGGGTTTCAATTTCTTAACATTTTTCATCGTGCTTTTAATCAGTAATTAGTGCAATTTCTTTTGATGTGTGGACTCATTCATGGAATGTACTTTAATAAACCCAAATGTACAGGTGAACTCAAAATTGCAAAAATAACAATGTACATGTGAACTCAAAATTGCTAAAGCTACCTGTTCACAAATTCAAGCTTCAACAAAAAAGCTGTAACAGCTTAAAACCAAGAAAAAGGTAGAAAGAGAAAAAGGTAGAAAGAGCAAGCGACGATTTAATTCCATGTTAGTAGGACTTGCATGCTAATTCCATGTTAGTAGGACTTGCAAGCAAAAGTTATGTAACCCTTGCTTTTTATTGTGGGGAGGAGAGGGGGAGGGGGAGGAATGTCACATGGGAAAAAACCTAAATTCACAGTGAAGGTGGAAGATGAAGTTTTAAATTTTTTTTAATATTTACACAGTGTAACATCCACGTATTCATCAAACTTGACAACTCAATAAGGTTGCGCTACGGTGGCATTTGCATCGTTAGATTTTTAACGGTGTGAGCGAAAAAGACCAGACTGAACATTTTTTAACAAATTAAGGGGTCTTACTGAACTTTTTTGAAAGGTAGGATCATTTTGAACCAAACCCATAAAAGTAGGGACCAAAATAGGTATTAAACCTAAAAAAAAGATGTTTCAAAAATATTATAGATTTATCTATTTAAGACTCTAATATTATAAACGGACAAGTGATAAAAAAATTATCAATATTAAAAACTTATTTGTTCGCCTTTTGTGTTTGTTTTTGGATTGCGCTTGGATGGTATGATATTTTTTTTTAATTTTGAATTGTTTTTGGAGTTTAACATCATTTTAGAATGAAATTTATTTAGATTTGAATTAAAAAATTATTATTATTTTTATTTAAAAAACTTGTAATTAAGTGAGCCAGTGAACCAATCCGTGGTGGGTCGGTCCGGGTTTGAATTTTTTTAGCTCACTAATAAATGAGTCGGGTTGGGTTCACTCACTAAGTCACCAACCCATGATGAGCTGAGTCGGGTCAAGCGGGATTATCCATTTTGACAGCTCTACATATATTCTTCAAATATATCTTGAGCAATATCTTCCATTATCCTTTGTTTCCATATTATGTCTTCAATCAAAATATCTTCAAATATATTGAGACTTGTTGCACACTTTTCTTATTCATCACCTTCAACATTCAAATAATTTTGATCAACTTACAATTGATATTAATCACCTTCTGATTAAATATAATTCTTTCACGTCATTGTAAACTTGATTTTCTTGTTAAGTCTTTTGACTTTTGACTTATATAGTATTCTTTGTGTGTCTTTTGCATTGACTCGTGTAATGTGTTGTGTTGACTTGTTTTAGTGCTTCTAACTTGTCTAATGCTTTTTCTCTACTTGTTTGCTTGGTTGGCTTGACTTGTTTAATATTTTTTTTTCATTTGTAGAAGTTGAATTTTGTACTATTCTAACTTTGACATAAACGAACTTAACCTAAACTTACACGAATTTAACATGGTGTTATGGTCTTGTTAGACAAAGTTTTACAAGTATAAAATAAAAAATTCAAGAGTTTTTTTTTTAAAAACATTAATTAAAATCAACTACAAAAGATGACCGATAATGATATTTTTTAATTTTTAATAATTATTTAATATTTAATATTTAAATAGTTTTTTAAATTTAGTGATAATTGAAATATTTTATTAAAAAGAAGTTAAAATTCACTAAATTTAATATGTCTTATCTAAACAAAAACATTTGAAAAATAAAACAATTAAAAATAATATCATTCAAATTCAAAAAGTTAAATTTCTTAGAAATTTTAAAATTCCCTGTCAAGCACAAGATAAAGAGAATTAGATCTCAATTATACATGTATCATGTGAAACGATTTTTTTCTTTGGGCGCCATGACATGGTGAAAACTGCTATTTGTGTTACCAATATTTCTATATATCAATATATATATTTTTAATATTAATATTAGTATTCAGATATTTGCTTAATTTCTTTCTTCAAAAATATCTTTTTTAAGAGGAATAGATTTTTTTTAATTTTCAGTTTCTCTTTAACTTAGCTCGTTGAAAGTTATGTGTGAAAAGATAATGATACTTCTCAATATTTTTTTAACAATATTTTGACATTATATTGATATTATTGATTATTATTATTGATTGTGAAATAATTTTGAACTAATTATTTAATCAGAGTTAAAATATTATAAAAAAATATTTTAAAAAAATTGAAAAGTTAAATGGGTAAAGTTTCATTCAAATTAACATGAAACGGGAAAAGACTCAGGAAAAGTCAAGACTGACAAAGCATAGCTTGCTGGTATAGGGTTTTTGTTGAATTACTGTTAAGACCGAAAAATAGTGGCATAAGAACGCGAGGCTTATACAGAAACGACGCCGTTGGAACGGATAATTCGATTAATTTTGGAGGAAGGGCAAGGGGTAATTCGGGGAACATAACCCAAATGTACCCTCCAGAGACACAAGGCTTTAGTTTGTTTCTTTCTCGTGTAATACATTGTATTGTGGATGCCTTTCGCTGCCGTATAAAACCCACGACCGCAGAATCCCAAACCGAAACCGGAACTAAAACCTCGCTACAGCTCGCTGCAACTGAAACAATAGTTTCATTCGCAAAATACTCTTCTTTCTGTCACCGAAGAATCTCAGCACTGTGCAAATCCTATTCGTTGCTTCATTCGCTGATTCTCTTTAACCGCATTCGTCCTTCCTACTGCTTTGTATGTATGAGTCGCTTTTGGGAATCGGAATTCATTTTTCAGTTCTGATTTTTGTTTTCATTTTCTTAAAAATGTTTGCGCTCTTTCTTTGTTCGTCTTGTCTCTTCTGGTATGCGGCAATTGATTGGGGTTTCTATCGATTAGGAATATGATGTGGTTTTTATTTTAATGTGTTTTTACATTCTTACATGTGTAATTTTTGTTAATTGATTAGTTAATCACTGGACAAAGGAGGATTTTTATGCGTTCCTGTACCCTTTTTGGCTCTTGTGGGTCGAGGAAAGATATTTGGTGATGAATTCGTGTATAATGGAGGTATCGAACGGTTTGGTTGGAATTTAGAATATACAATCCTGTGGACCTTTACAAAAATCCTTCAAAAAACTGTTTTTGTTCATGTCATATTCAATTTCAGTCCATGGCTTGTGGTCATATCAATAGCACTCTTGCATGTGTGAGGGTATAACCCTAAACCGTAAGCACCGACGTGTGTGCTAATGTGGTCATATTCTTGTTGTGTGTGGTCTGAACTCTAAGCACTCTTGCATTTGTGTGTCTACCTCTTTAAGTTCATGTGATTGTGTGTCAGCGATAACAACACTTACATATGTGTCCCTATATTTTTGTTACATAATTATTGTCATCAATGAACTTTATTTTAGCCTGTAACGAAACTTAATGTGCTGAAGTGAATAATTAGGGTTACATATGGATCTAGTTAATCTTTTGAATCTAAGTACTAACTGCGTTTACTTGTGTGTTTTAAATCCATTTTTTTCCTTTATGTGCTTTGGTGTCGTTAATATTGCTCAGTGTGCGCATCTATGCTTGTTATTTGACATCATCAATACTGGCAAGTATGTGTGTCTGTTGCATGTACATGTGTCCATGTGTGCTGGTATTCTTTCCTTGTGTGCATGTTTTCCATGTGTGCATCCATGCTTGTAATTTGATTTCATTAAGACGGGCAAGCATGTGCGTCTCTGTGGTTACGTCTCCAGATGTGCTGCTGTCCTGTCCTCTGGTTACATCTGTACTTATATTTATTTTTCTCTATCTGATTGTATATAAATGGCCATATCAGCTTTCATTTAATCAAGGCACAATTTAACAGCGTCAAATCTTTGTATCAAAATTTTATTTTCATTGCAAGTTTATAATTAAAGCAAGAACTGATCGGCCAATGGATTAGATATTAAACGGTTTGATCTTGTTAAGCATATTTCATTTGTTTGCTTAGTCTCATGGCTCTGGTTACCTAGATTTTCGTTTGTTTGCCAGGTCTTGTGACTTTGGTTTCCTAGACTTTTCTCTCATATTTTTTTTACAGGCCTGTTTGGTAGATTTCTATGCTAATTTTACTTTGACAACAAACTGTTTCTTTCTGTTTTTGTGATTTATTTTAAACTAAAAAATTCCTAATTTCACCTTAGTTTTGTCAAGGTTTTAAATTACGGTCTACAAACACAGTATAATGGTTTTGGAGATCTCTGCAACTGCATCACTACTGCAATTGTGGCTGCACCAATCACAATTTAGGTAATCACAACGCACCTGGAACTGAGATGGTAGCTGCAATTTAAAACATTTATACTTTGCTATTTATTAATGTCGTAAGTGTTTATGTCTATCCATCTTTTAAAACATTACACGTAGGGTCTGCAAATCTATTAGTTAGTTTATTTATAATCCTAAAATTCAGTCTGGTTTGCCTAAGCCCATGCTACTTCTCACTTGTCTTGGATGGTGCATTTTATCCATGTAGAATGTGCCACATAAATAAATCATTTACTATTGTAAGTTCTTAACTACTTATTAATATTTTCTAATATGTACATTTTCACTTTTATTGGCACATGTTTATTAATGTTTGGTTCTTCCTCATTGGTGGAATCCTTTGGTGTTGTTCTAATAAAGACTCCAAGATTCTGTGGGTTTATTCGTATTAGGTCTGAATACCTATCAGGCATTGCTATTCTGGCTGGCCTTAATGTTGATGTTTTCATTTAGTACTTAAGTCTGGAGTAGGAATATGTGAGGGGAGGGGTAATTGCAGATATTAGTGAACTGTTAGTGGATGGTTTCATCGACATTAAGTGATTCTCTGTGGTGGAATTACCAGTTGCAGGACTGTCATTTATATTTTTGGTTATTGGAGCTTGTTGCCATGGTTATGGTTAAAACTGATGATCATATGCATGCGTGTGTGTAGGCATTATTGTTAAAACTGATGAATATAATCTGATGAATGTATGTGTGCTTGTGTGTGGGCATTATGAATAGTAATTTTCAATTTAGAACTGAAAGGACATTGTATATACATGTAACATGAATACATCTTTGGATTTTAGATAAAATGTAAGAAATATATATGTATTTTGATATTATTTTTTTATGTAAATTTTAACTTTCATGGATTATTTTTATATTAGCAGTGTTCCAATTAATATGTTAAAACGTACCACAAACCTAAATAGCAACCTACTATATTCCTCATGCGCCACTTATTTAGGAAAGTTAGCTATACACTTGTCGGTCTGGAGTAATGTGAACAAGGCAATTATGGTCTAGGCATTTGATGTGAATGGTTTTTTATTTTGGAAAGATAAATTTGTTAGGAATTTGTAACTATTTCAAGTACATTTAGCTTGGGTATTTTATTATGAAGGATTACCTCATCTAATTTGCTTAACATGTGTTTTTTGCAACAGGTGATGCATGTACTTGTTTATCAATATCTATATCTTTTATATATCATTTGTTATACTTTTTTTTGGCTGGCATTGGTTGTATCCTAATCTTGGTGTTTCCTTTGTTTCTTATTTGAAGGTTTTCATCCAGGTTCAGATTCTAGTTGATTAGTTGTCCTGACTCTAATTGGAAAGATGGGTAGCACATTTAATCCACAGATTTTAGTGGAAAAACTAGCCAAGCTGAATGGTTCACAAGCAAGCATAGAGAGTATCCTTCAAGATCATTTTATGGTCTAAGATGTATGTTCAGTATTGTATTGTTTAAGCAGTTGTCTGTTTCCAACGTTTTGAGTTCGTGCAGCCATGCTTTATTGTCTAACATCACCTATTGCCCAGAATTGGAACTTTACTTTCTTTGGAAGTTGAAACATGAGCCGTGGAATGTTGACAGGGGTGTAATACTCCTTTAACTGGTTTCTAGGCCCCCTCCTGTCTCCTTCTTGGTTTATTAAAATGATTAAGCCCTCGCTTTTAAATGCAGAACTGTATACGGGATTCTATTTGTACTAGTAAAGCAATGTAACCATTATTTGTTTCTCACTCTCTCACACGTTCACTCACTTTCACATATTCATGCAATCTTTTTCTCTTTTTTTTTGTATTTGTTGCATCACTATATGCTGCTGCTTGGATATGATCCTTAACATGGTTAAGCTTTGTCACATTGGTGTATTTTTCATATGAACAAAGCCAAACAGGTTGTTGAAACATGGGATAGGCAATTTCATGGTTCTCCACGTGAGAAGAGATTAGCATTTCTGTATCTCGCAAATGATATTTTACAGAACAGCAGGCGAAAAGGTTCTGAATTTGTAGGTGAATTCTGGAAGGTTCTTCCAGATGCTCTTCGAGACGTGATTCAAAATGGAGATGATTTTGCTAGGAATGCGGCACTTCGACTGGTACTTCAATTATTCATTCTTAGTTAAAAAATGTGATACATGCATTTTGACTTTTTTTTTCTGCATAATAATACTTAGTAACTTAGGCTGTAGTATTTTTGTTAGTTAGTTTAAAAGAAATTCTTAGATCGTTTTATAAAAGAATGAACAAGTTTGGTTATTGTTTATCCCAATATTTTGTACGTGCCTACTCTATTATTGGGTGAATGCAATGTCTTAGTTCTAAGTTAATTAATGAATTTTATTGTGTTCATAGATATGCATTGAATAGCAAAGAGAAAAAGGAGGATGGATGTAAATGTTTAATGTTTAATATGATTATCTGATTTCTCTCTTTGTATGAACAAACTATAAAGTTTAAAGTTTTGTAACATATCTTATCATCTGGTTATCATAGTCAGGTTTGAATCTTGTTGTGGTCAATTTCTCCTTCTATCTCCTTCCTTTCCCCTCCCTTCCCCTGGATTTGTGGCTGTTCAATAATAATAGTCGAAGGTCTTAGATTGAAAAACAGTGTTTTTTCATACACTCCATTGATGTGTGTGTCTGTATATAAATCTGAGTAATTGACAATACACTTCTGAGAAATAATAAATAAGGGCAACTGCCTATGACATACCAGGTGTAACAAAGGCAACTTTATAAAAGCTATGGAAAGGGCTTAATTGGCTCAATTCTTCAAAATTTAGGGCCCAATTGAGACCGTTTTGAACAAGGGACCCACTTGAGATTTCACTACAAATATGAGGACTATTCGAGGATTTAAACCTATATTTTTAACGGCTTAATACACCTCTTATCTTCATGTTACATTTATAGGAAATGTAATGCAAACAACTAAACCTAGACAGCGAAACCTGGTTGGAAAACACTCATACACTACTCACACCAAACTAATACATATCTCACACACAACTAATTATTCTAACACCCTACTTGAAAAAACAAAAGAATGGAAGGAAGACCAGGTGATGGGATGTGAAGCATGACGACAACTAGGTGATGCAAGACGAGGCATGACGACAACCAAGTGATGTGAGGTGAGGCACGATGATGCGAGATGAGGCACAACAAAGGCACAAGACTGCGATGGTGAAGAACCTATGTGGGGAGGGGGTTGATGAAGATGAAAAGAAAAAATAGAGGTTGTGTTTGCATATGGGTCTTTGATTTAGGGGTTTTTGGTTTTTGATTTGGATTTCTAGATTTTTTATTTGGGATTCTGATTTGGGTTTTCAAAATAGATTAGAATGACAATTTTTCTCGTTATTTTTGTGCACATTGCATACTCGGTGACTTGATCTCCAACTCGCGAGTCTACTATGAGTTAACCAAGTCTAAGCGAGTCTACTTCGAGTCTACTGAAACATGAGTTTGCAAACAAGTCAACTGTGACCGGGAACCAAACTCGTAAACTCATGAGTTTGCGAGTCAACTCACTAGTTTGGTAACCATGGATAGAGCCTCTTCAAATTGCGTCAATGGGTATGATACTGCAATTTTTGCTTTAGGAAGACATGAGAATGCTTTATAGAGCCATATTTGGCAGTGCACATCATCACATTTGAGCCCACGCAGTAGCTGTTTTCATATACCAAAGCAAGTACAAGGTGCAACTTGCACCCCAAATCCTAAATAGGCCTAAACATGCATTCATAATAGGCCCATAAATCATAAAAAAAACCGCAAAAGAAAAACATTGAGAAAACCGACCTGTTTTGCCACTCCTAATAGTGAGGCCAGTGGCAAATGATAGCGATACCAAGTAAAAGCTGAACAATGGTGATTTTGGCTATTAGAGAGAAGGTATTACCATAAATAAGGCTCTGATATAACTATAGAAATAAGGATCCTATCCTAGTGAGCTTACTGTGTCACTTGCTATCGAGGCATTGTCAGACCATCCAAAATTTCTACCAAAAATTTCTAGTCCCATGCTTGAGATGTCTAGACCTTAAATGTGAAGAGGTGTGTTGGAAATCTCACATTAATTAGAGATAAGATCAAATTATAGTATATAAATTGTTGGTAAAAATAAGGGTTCTAGGGCCAGCAGTAGCTGTTTCCCACAGTTGACACCCTCTCTCGAGGGAGGACTGCACAGTGGAATTGTACCTGCTTTGATACCAAGTTGAAGGTTTAAGACTGAAAAGCAGCGTGTTCTCATACATGCTGGTGTTTATTTATATATTTATACATGCATCTAAGTAATTGACACTACAACTCTGAATAAGCACTACTGCCCGTAGTATACTAGGTATAACAAACGAGCTTTACTAAAGCTATACAACAAGATAATCATTATTCAACAACTATAGTAAACCTTTTCTCTCTTATTCTACCTGGAGTGTGTGATTTGACATTTATAGACATTTGTCTAATATTTGCTAATGGACATGATATTTGATTCTGCTATATTTATGGTTGTTATTCTACATGTGTTTTCTGATTCAACTTGGCATGGCATTATGGGCTGGTTCTAAGGTTCAGTGTTACTTTAATGGTGCAATGGCATTTAATTGAGGAATGCTAGAATCTCTATAATTGATCAATAAGCAAATATGTAACTTGTTTTTTTTTTATTCTTCACGTTGTAGTTGAAGTATTCATGATAGAATAAATCAAGTTAAACATAGGGCGAAATCTCCACATAACATCCTTTCTCCTTTTATGCAGATTGTTATATGGGAAGAGAGGAAAGTCTTTGGTTCTCGTGGTCAAATTCTCAAGGAAGAGTTTGTTGGGAGGAATGTGGAAAACACTAGTCGAGATGTGAAGCCTACAAACATGAAGGTGGTAATAATTTGTCTTGATGTAGAGGATTTGGTACACGTACTTTGTTAATATGCTCTACATGCTGATTGCATTCTTATGCTGTATTCTTATCCATTGCAGAGGCCATCTGCAGGGAATGCATTGGAGAAAATAGTTTCAGCTTTCCATGTTGTTTATGGAGGGCAAAAAGATGAAGACGCCATATTGAGCAAATGCAGGAATGCCATTAACTGTCTTGATAAAGCAGATAAAGAAATAGTTTCAGGTATGTCAATTTGTCATTTACTTGTAATTGTTTGTCTACTTAATTGACTTTAATAGTTAATTTGTGATTCATATATAAGTGGTCTCACTTTGTTAGTGTATAAACTATTGTTTTTTAACCTGCGCGGCTGCCCTAGCTGAAGAGTCTTCCTCTCCACGCCACTGGTGCCTCAATAGGGTTTCCTTCTTTGCCTTTTCTGCCATACCATTCCGCATCAGCTATCCATTATCCAAAATGTGGTCGCCGTGGACCTTCATGAAAAATCTGCCTCGCCACTGCCATGTTGTGGCTGCAAGCACTAAAACCGCCATATATATGTATATATTATATACATATATGTATATATTATATACATATATGTATATATTATACGCACACACACATACTGATAGGGGAATAAAAGTATATGTGAGGAAAAATAAAGACGGGAAGGAGAGAGTGTCTGTTAAAAATTAGGAGGGAGTTTCTGTTAGAAGTTAGTTAGAGGGAAAGGGGAGTATAAATAAGAATTAGTGGTAAAGGGCGGGGGGTATGAGATTAGTAATTGTTGTTGACTGGAACATTAGTCTAGTGGAGGGAGATCGGGCTTCCATAGGAGGGATTACTATACAATTGTATTCTTGGTTCATTGAATAAGAGAAGTATATTCAGAGAAGTATAATCTATTGGTGTGGTTTATTTGCTTTCTTGGCTTCTTGATTTAAGAAGTCCAACAATATTGGTCTGACCTGTCGGATCCAGATCGAAGGAGAGACGAGATGGAGAACAGGGTTCGTGCATTGGAGGGAAGATTCGATGCCATGGAAGCGACGTTGGAGGAAATTCGAGCGGAGATGAGGGGAATGGCTCGAAACGTGAATCGCGACCGTGGGAGACGAAACGTGAATTGCGACCGTGGGAGAAGAGGGAACCAGGGGAGGAGTTCTGAAGGCAGTCATTAGGTTAATGGAGGTCGGGATACAGAGGGGGATGAATTAGATGAAGAATTGGAGGAAGAACGCGACGTTCAAAAGAGTTGGATGAAGAGAGTGGAATTACCCACTTTTGAAGGGATCGATCCGATGGGATTGATCGCTAGGGCGGAGAAATTCTTCGAATTACAAAATGTGACAGAAAGGGATAAGATGAAGCTGGTGTACATTTGTATGGAAGGGGGAGCGAATTATTGGTTCTGCTTTTGGCGGAAGAAGGTGAAGAATCCTACCTGGGCGACATTGACGGAGGCGATGGTCAGGAGGTTTGGAGGTAGACACCGGGGAACGATCTCCGAAAAATTGGCGGCGGTGCGACAGAGAGGAGCGGTAGAGGAATATGTACAGGAATTTGAGGTCCTGGTGGCTCAGGTGGCGGGCGTGACGGAGGAACAACTTCTTGGGTATTTCTTTGCTGGATTACAAGAAGGAATGAGGGATCGCGTTAGACCTTATGATCCGCGCGACCTGTTAACCGCGATGGAAAGGGCACGAAACGTGGAGCAATCGGGATTAGTTGCAAGGGTGTCTGGAGGTGGCGGAACGATGAAAGGAGGATCGACGTGGGGGAAGTATGCGGCCAGCGCGGGCACGGTAGCGCGAACGAAGACCTATCACGGGTCATCGGAGGGGCATGGGAGTAGCGGCGGAGGTCGCGGTCCAAAGAAAGAAGTGACGACCAGGACCGCCGGTTCAAAAGTAGAAAACAATGCAGGCGGAGGCGGGCCGAGTCGCGGAGTGCGAACTGTACCATATCCGGAATACCTAAAGAGGAGAGAAGAGGGTTGTTGTTTCCACTCTGGGGGTCCTTATAGCCCAGGCCATCGTTGTGCGGAGAGATGTTTAAAGGTAATGATCATGGGGCCGGATGACGACGAGGAAGAGGCGGAGACACGAGAGGAGGCATAACAACTTTGCATGGAATTGTCCAGCCGGAGGAATAACGCAATCCAACACCATGAAGTTGCCCTGTTGGATTCGGGACCGGAAGATTGTAGTGCTGATCGACAGCGGGGCGAGTCACAATTTCATTTTGTTGCGCTTGGTTGAAGAGCTGAGGTTAGAGAAAGAGAAGACGACACCGTATCGGGTATGTTTGGGTGATGGCCAGAGAAAGGAGACACAAGGATGTTGCATGGGGCTGTCCTTGACACTGGAGGGAGTGCAGATCAGAGAGAACTTTTATCTTTTTGAGTTGGGAGGAGTTGATGTAGTGTTGGGAGTTGAGTGGTTGGCGAAATTGGGGGAGATTAGGGTGGACTAAAAGAAGATGACGTTGAAGTATGGGCCGGCGGAGGCTGAGGTAGTAATAAGGGGGGACAACACATTAATGAGGGAAATGATTACCCCTGAAGTGTTGCAGAAGGAAACCGAGATCTGGCGGTGGTGTGGGGTTTGAGTAAATATGAAATAGCAGAGGAAAATTTAGTAGCAGAGGATTTAACGCCCATGCAGGAGGAAAATCTGGAGAAGATTTTGGGGGAGTTTGAGAAGGTGTTGGAGGTGCCACAAGCACTTCCTCCTGTCAGAAGAGTGGACCACCAGATAACCATTAAAGAAGACATTGAACAAGTGAACGTGAGACCCTATAAGTATCCCCACTTAATGAAGGCTGAAATAGAGAAGCTGGTCCAGGAGATGTTGGGCTTGGGTATTATTAGGGCCAGTAACAGCCCATTTTCCAGTAAAGCTGCTCTTTTTAATAAAGATAGAGTGGTAGGTTGTGGTGGGTATGTCAAAACAGTGAAGAAAGGAGAATAATTGTTGAAGCCTGGGATTAAAGCAGTGTTGTCAGGAAGTGACCCAGCTGTGGTCTGGGTGTCCAGGGGTGCATCCACTAGGGCTGTTACAAGTCCATTTGTTGAAATTACTAAGGTTATAAAACCTGCAGATCTAGCTTCTAGCATTGGCCACAAAGGAATTTCCAGGTTGCTTGCAGAATCCTTATTAACTAGCTATCTTATATTACTCACAGTGGTGAAAGGTAAAGATGGTAGGAAAGAAACTTCCGGACTGGAAGTAATGCAGACAGTTTCAGAAACAAACTATAATACTTGTACTCCACAAGGTAAGAGGTCACAGGTCAGAAAGCAGTATACAACAATCATATGGTTTAGGGGAATCTTGGAAAAGGAGCCGTTCTTATTAATGGAACAGGAGTCAATAATTTTCTCATATAGACCACCACCCAAGCCTCCAGACTTGGATTGGAGGACAGTAGCTAGTGGGTTCTCTTCATATGATAACACGATGATGAAGAGGAATCATGGGATCAAGTTTCACGGTTCCAACAGTGGAATTACAGGTGGAAGGTCCATTATATAGACCTTTAAATGTATTACAGAGGAGAGACAAAAATCAACAAGGAGAGGAGGTATCTCAAATTCTGATCCAATGGCAAGAGGGAGGAGTGGAAGGAGCAACCTGGGAAGAAGAGATGTACATCAAGCAGCAGTTTCCGAATTTCAACCTTGAGGACAAGGTTGCTGAGATGTAGGGGGGTATTGATAGGGGAATAATAGTATATGTGAGGAAAAATAAAGGCGGGAAGGAGAGAGTGTCTTTTAAAAATTAGGAGGGAGTTTCTGTTAGAAGTTAGTTAGAGGGCAAGGGGAGTATAAATAAGAATTAGTGGTAAAGGGGGGGGGGGGGTATGAGATTAGTAATTGTTGTTGACTGGAACATTAGTCCAGTGGAGGGAGATCGGGCTTCCTTAGGAGGGATTACTATACAATTGTATTCTTGGTTCATTGAATAAGAGAAGTATATTCAGAGAAGTACAATCTGTTGGTGTGGTTTATTTGCTTTCTTGGCTTCTTGATTTAAGAAGTCCAACACACACACACACACATAGATATATATACACACACATATTGTCCCCAATGCTTCTGCCATAACCCATTATAGCTTCTGATATATTTTCATAAAGGGTTTTTGAGTCTCTGATATTTTCTGTTATCCAATATCGATAACACTAGTTACAACTATTACAGTAGAAACCTTATCCTTTGTTATATTTGCCATTATACAATTGTAAGTTAATCAGGACTAGGTTTTATGTTTTGTTTTGGTTCAATTGAATCCCCGACCTAACATTCATTTAAGGAACTGTCATGAAATAATATAATAAACTAAAGTGTAAAAAAAGAAGAAATACATATAGGCAAAATTGAGGATTTGACATTACAAACTTTCTAAAAATCTGAGGGCTAAAATAGTGGAAAGTAGATAGGGGGACCAAAATTGCAATTTACCCAGTATTTTTTAGTTAAAGTGTTAATTAAGTAGGAATGCTTGTTGATTTGCTGTGTATTGTTTGCTATTTAACCAACGTAGGGCAATTTGGTGGATCGGCACTGGTAGATGAGCTCCAGGGGCATAATTCTGTACTGAAGGACTGCATTGAGCAGTTAACGGCCATAGAGTCATCAAGGACTAGTCTTGTGTCTCACTTGAGAGAAGCTCTTTAAGATCAGGTTCTTTTGAGACTTTCTCTTTATAAAATTGATGAAATCAACTTATAGTATATACTTCTGACATGCTTTTGTTCCCAGGAATTCAAGCTGGGTCAAGTCCGTAGCCAGATTCAGGTTTGGAACTTGTCCAAATTCAATGAGTACTTGCATAGTTTCTTTCTTTCTGTATAATATGAATAAGTTGGCAAAGACATGTTTCCTGTTTTCAATTTTTTTTTATCTACCCTTCTTGTTTATTCTGTTGGAAGATGGCTCCCAACTACTAAGGTAATTTAGACTTTGGTTTCGACAACTGATTAATGTGGGAGTGATAGAACAGAGTTGAAACTGCTGAAAAAGAAATGCAATGATATTGAACAGCAATAAGAAACTGAGCTCTCATACAATGAAAGCCAGAGTAATGCTCCTAAGAGGAGATATTTTCTCCTTGCCTAATCACTTGGGTACTAACAGAAAAGTTATGTGATCAGCCCTCCCTCATTCTCTCAATCACTCAATGATATTGAATAGGAATAAGAAACTGAGCTCTCATACAATGAAATCCAGAGGAATGCTCTCAAAAGAAGATATATTTTCTCGTTGCCTAATCACTCGAGTCCTAACAGAACAAATGTATGGACATATTTTAACTAACTGCAACCAAAGAATTACTTTTTCCTACACTCATAAACTCTCCAAAAATATGGGCTTCTCATGCTTAAAGCCCACTAATACATCATCTTCTGATCTGGCGGCAGCACGTGGGTCCATATTCAGTATTCTATCATTACTTCCCCCTTCAGTTAAAGCCTTGACCTCAAGGCTAAAATCTTGTAACTGAACTTTCTGCAACGATTTCTTCTTATGTAGCTGCTGACATTCCCTTCATTTTAAATTAATCACTTCATTGTATGTTGTCCCTCTTTTCGAAATTGTCCCGCAACGATAGCATCTTCTCAGGACATATGATTTCCTCAATCTTCAAATCCAGAGACAATTCAGGAGAAAATTAATAATCATAAATTGCCTTCTTGAGGTGCAAAACAGGAAATACATGATGCACTCTATAAACAATTAATTTAGGTAACATAAGTTGATAAGCCACTTATGCCAAGTTCTGAATAATTTGATTAGGCCTGCATGAGATAAATAAAAAGAGACAATATGTTTGAGAGAGCTTGTATCACCTCTCATATGTTCTCCTATTTATATTGATAGAGTCTGATACAATGAGTAGAGGGAAGAGTAAAGATCTAAAGATAGCACTAGAGTCCTAGGTACAAAGACAGGTACAATAATAAAAACCATTTAAGACCTATTCTGTATTTAAAACCTATTCTATCACTCCCCCTCAAGTAGAGCATATAAATTGTATGTACTAAGTTAATAGCAAATAAATTCAATTAGAGGTCCTTTTAAGGATTTTGTTACTGCATTTTTTCAAGTTGATCATTGAATTTGATAAACTTGGGACAAATTTTCGTGGACAACATTTCCCGAATAAAATGATTGTCAACTTCTGTGTGTTTAGTCTTCTTATGGAACATGGGATCGGAAACAATGTGGAGAGCAACTTAGTTATCACAGTACATCTTCATTTGCTGAATATCACGAAAGTTTAATATTTGAAGGAATTGTTTCACTCATACAAGTTGTCAAGTACGAGACATGATTGTCCTATATTCAACTTCATCCATTGATTGGGCAACTATATTTTGTTTCTTGCTTTTCCAAGAAATAATATCTTCCAAAGGAAAACACTATTCTTTGGTAAAGCCTATGGCAATAGGGGATCCAAACGAATCAACATTAGAATACCTAACCGAATCAATATCAGAATTGATAGGAAGTGGATAGTTTATGAAAGAAAGAGAAAAGGAAATAAAGCGGGGGAGAAGTGCTAGGTAGTTATAACTGCTTTAGGATATTGGGCGGGAAATAAAGCTCCTATAAAAGAGCTGATGTATTCTGTTTTGGACACTTTTGGAATTGTTAGTGTAAAGACATGATCACGTTTATCCTGTGGAGGGGAGAGTATTAGGCTCTCTGGGAGGTTGTGAGTGTGGAGATACGATATTGAAATACAGAAAATATACAGTTTATACTTTTCTGTGTGTTTGTGTTCGATTGCGTGTTTAGATAGGGTTTCCCATTCAGAAACCTATCAAGAATACTCAAAGATTTGAGTATTTCCTTTATCGTCATCTAGTAGAGCTTATTTCTAGAGCCTTTTTAAGGTATCTTAGGACATGGATGATAGCATTCCGATAATCAATACAAGGAGACTCTACATGTACTAACAACTCTATCTGCAAAAGACAAATTAGGTCTAATAATAATAAGATAAACAAATTTCCTAGCCAGTCTTATATATCTTTCTGGATCTGAGAAAGATTCACCTTGTTGTACCATTAATTTTTGATTTGGTTCCATAGACTATCCACTAGTCTACAATCAATCATACTTGTCTCTTTTAGGATATATACAACATATTTTCTTTTAGAGATTACAACACTATTTTTTGACTGTGATACTTCAATAGCCTAAAAGTATGATACTTCCATTTCAAGGTCTTTGATTTGAAAATGTTTACGCAAGTGTTTCTTTAGTTGAGATGTTCTAGCAGCATTCCTTGTAATGACTATATCTTTACCTTATAAGATGATTTTGTGATCTGAGTTAAGGATATATTCACTTCGTAATATATGGGAACATATCCTAGTCAAGTTCTTTAGGGGCTATTATGCCATTCCAGTTAAACCACCCATCGTAGATAGCGAGTGATATTTTTTTCCAGCTGCCACAACTTGGCTAGCCCAATTTATCTCATGGCCTGAATGGGTTAGACTAGGCTGACTCGTAGGCTTGTGACTTGACATGTCTTAGAAAATAATAATTATATTTTTAAAAAATGAAGGTAATATTATCTTATTCAGACATTATGTATTATAATTTATATTTATATATCAAATCATTGTATCTAAAATTTAAATTAATTTCATCAATGTCTTAATTTTTAAAAAATACATGTTTTATTTTTATTTATTTTAATTAAAATACTTTTTTATTTTTCTAAGTGGAGCAAAATGGTTTATTGGCCTGACATAGGTATGGTGTAGTCAACACTAATTTATTTGTTTGCCCACAGACCAGACTATTTGACATCTCTAGTTATTATTGTTAACTGTATGGTTGGCTGTCTTTAATTATTTCTGCCTTTCAATTATATTTCTTCATTTTTAATTATCTTTGTGCATATATATATATATATATATATATATTGTATTCCATTTTTGTATGCCATATATATATATATATATTGTATTCCATTTTTGTATGCCATGCTTCCACCATAACCTATTATGGCTGCTGGTATATATTTGTAAAGGATTTTGGACTACTAATATATAGTTATCTGATATCATTACTAACATTGTATTAGGAAGTTAGTTTTAAGTTTAACTCAACCTAAAAACTTCAGCTTATGATGTAAGGTTTTATTCACTTATATATTGTACTTCAGCCTTATCTCTTGTTGAGATGAGATCTCACACCTCATGTCGATGACAGAACATCTTGAGCATAAGATTAGATATTTCATCTTGAACATAAGATTAGATATTTTTAAGTTCGTTAACAATTTGATAACGGTTGACACAATAAGTCTAACAAATCTTATTAGGATAGATTCTAGTATTATATTAGGAATGAAATTTTAAGTTTAACTTAACTTTAAAAAAATTAATTTGGAAAGTGAGATTTGCATCTATTTATACTAAAATTTGAGTGGGATCTCCAACACATTGATACAAACACTTGTTTATCACTCCTTTTGCTTAAATTCTCATTTTTATCAGAAAGGGGGGTTAGGGTGTTGAGAATGGACACGATTTATTACTTGGTCTTGTAGACTTTTACTTTGGTACCATGTCATGAACTAACTATCCCAAAAGGTCAAGTTCTTAGATGATGATTCATACATAGTTTTGACCTTAATTTTACAATTGTATTTATATTTAGGATGGGTACAAATATTGTTTTTAAAGTTGAATGGCTTTTATTATAATGTTTTTATCTGTACTGTTAACCTGGTTGCTGGTGTTAAATAAATTTTATTTGACCATTGTCAACTAGGGATAAATTACTTTCATTCATGTATTATGTATTGACATGTTACTCTTATTTAAGCATGGTATCCCTTATATTTGTGATGCTTGTACATTTTAGGCTGCAAATGTTCGGTCAGATCGGGCGTCCAACAACTGCCAACAGTTACTTAATGGCAATAATATTCAGTCGTTAGCTGAACAGAGCTCAAAGGAAATTCAAACCTCCATGTCATCTGCAAGTTTTAGTATTATTTCTAGTGAAGGGGAGCAATCTGCTCCATTGATGTACACCCCACAAGCGTCATTTTCTCAGAAATCTGGACACATTGAGGAAGATCCACGCAAGTCTGCAGCTGCAGCAGTGGCAGCAAAATTGACCGCTTCAACATCCTCCGCGCAGATGCTATCATATGTGCTGTCCTCCCTAGCATCAGAAGGTGTAATAGGTAATCAGTCAGCAGCCGATTATCACTCGGAGAAGAGGACCAAGCTCGAGAATGACCAACCATCTTTTATGCCATCTCAGAATCCTCAACAACCACTTCCTCCCTTTTCTCTACCTGATTCTATTCAACACAATGCTCCTACAACCAACCAGCAATCTACTCCCAATGAACCACCACCTCCACCCTCATCATCACCTCCTCCATTGCCACCACCGCCACCACCACCAATGTCACAGTACCCAGTGCCACAGTTTATGCAGACTGCTGGATCTATTAGTAGTATGGCATACAGCTATGGAATGACACAACAGCCGACAATGACGGCCTATCCCGGTGTCGGTGCTTCCACTTTTACCCCTCCTCCAATGGGTACATATCAAGGTTTTCAGGGTTCAGATGGAAATTACTATAACCAGCCCTCATCAATGCCTATGGCCCCAATATCTCGACAATAAGATTCCCGGTCGTTATGGAGGTAAGGTTGCTTTGAAAAGCTTTCATACCTCCTCCACCCATAACCTTGCTATGGGAATCTGATTCTTCCCACAGTCAGATGTGCAGATAGTAAATGCTCTGTAACCTTTAGTTGTTGGGCTGGTACTAATTTCCTCAAGTTAAAACAATTTATTGTGGTCCACCGAGGATAACGGTTTTGTACTTTTATTGAGTAGGGTTTTGTTTTTTGTAGAACAGAATTTTTATTGCCTTATGGCTTAATTAGATGTGTGGTTTTGGAGGGCTGTAGGCATGTCGTTGCTAGTGAATCAGTTAGTCTGCTGGCATATCTTCTTAACATCTGCATCTCCGCTGACGGGCTGTTATCTGTACAGACCTTGTGTTTGTATTTTATGGATTTTATATAATTGTGCACTGAGGACCCGCTCAATTCTAAAACCTTTTACTTATCATATAAGTGACAAGATTTTCTTAAATATTTACTTTTGGAACTTCCATGTAAAACATGATTATGATATCAATTTTGCTATAGATTATTTTATGTTTTATAAAGTGTATGATGGTTTGGAAGTATTAATAGCTAGAAAAGTTCTTAAAATTGTAATTTCTTTTTCATATCCAATTTTGTATTGAAATGTAATGTAGTCTATGTATGCGTAGTTTAATATTTTTTTAAAGATAAACAATAATTTGTATGAATTGTAAGATGAATGAGATAAATAAGTTATGATTGGAGATTTCATGAACAAAATGCATATTATAAACTTTAGATTATGTTGGGTTCGGTAGGCAGGAAAATCTCCGCTATAAGATAGAGCAAGAGGCTTGCAACTTGCAGTGAACGTAAGTATTTATTCTGCTTGGATCCGTTTATTTTTGTGTTAATAGACTTAAATTAAAGGCTTGCTTTTTTTCTCATACAAATAAAGCGTTTCTTTAACTATAGGGTGAAAAAAGAAACTACTATCAAAATTTTAGTTGCAACGCGATTTATAGAAAACCTGAGGTTAATTAAGTCTCCATTATTTAAACTCCAACAAGGTTTTAGTTTTCATTTGACTCTTTATTTTATGAGAAAAATAGATTACAACATAATGGAAACTAGACTAGAAACTCTTCTATTTCAGAGTTTAAGTAAACTTTAAATCAGTATATTTAAGTGTTCCTTCTACAGAGCTGTCTCATATTTATATGGAGATTTCTTGTACACCTAATAAGATTTTATGTGTTGGAAAACAAATTATAAAAGCGAGAAACTCAGAATCCTGGAAATTTTTTCTGTTTTACCATTAAAATCAAGGGTTAAACCCTTAATGTTTTGATAATCGAATGCCTTTCTTTTTCATAACAACATTTTTTCCGAAATTGACAGAAATTCGTTCCTATATTTAAATAGGTCGGCCTAGAGGTAACCCAACCAGAGACATTGGGTTTGAAGACAGTCATGAACAAATAGATTCTTGAACGAGCCATGACTCTTGATCAGACATTATTCGACCCTTGGTGCACAGCCTTGTGGAGGTTGCTAAAAAAGGGATACTGGTCGACCTTTAGGTGTTCGCCTTGATATTGAATATGATGGTGTACATAACCCTTCAACCTTAGACCAATTTGACTGAAAAACTTTTATTGACGTCAATCCTGGAAGCTTTTAATGGTGCTCTCAAACGTCTCGTTGTTTCAGAACATGGAACCCTCTAACCTTCATGTCTTTGCTGTTAAATAAACTTAAATTAAAAAGGATTTATTTGTAATTTTTCATAAACTTTATTTGTCCTTTCACGTCTTTGCTGTTAACTAAACTTAAATTAAAAAGGATTTATTTGCCATTTTTCATAAACTTTATTTGTCCAGCGTTGCAGTCAGTTAGCATTTAGGTGATTGTTTTATTTTTCTAGTTTCGGTTGCATTGTAGCAACTAGGTAACAGGTGGTCATTATATTTTAAAGTCTGGTCATTTAGGAGATATTTGTTTTTTTTCTTTTTCTGTTTTGAGCAGTAATTGTTTTTATTTTATTTGGCGTCTAAATGACTATTTTAATAACCTTTATCTCATGAATGTATCGCAATATAATTTGCAGAATATATTTTTTGTGCATGAGGTTATTTTAAAAAGGTGGTATGAGAGCTCTATGCTCTGAGTATAGAGGGAAAAAAAGAGAGGAAATAGTTAAACACCGTGAGAAAAATAATAAGTGTTCGAGTTTTTTGTGAGAGAGATGAGAAAGGTTGTCAATGGTATGAGTGTGCCACAATTAACGAGAAAAACTAATTATGATAACTCGTGTCTATAAATGAAGGCGTTGTTGAGATCCCAAGACATTTAGGATATGATGGAAGAGGTATGTTGAATCCGATGAAGACCAAAATCAGACAGTATATGACAACGTTGAAAAAATCACGTGCCAGATATGGGTCAACATTGTAATTTCTCTACAATATAGTAGATGAGTCGGGATAAAAAAAATAGTATACCGCATCAGCAAAGGAAGCTTGGAAAATATTGGAGGTTGCGTATAAAGGTGATAACCGCGTTAGACAAGTTCGAATACAAGCTCTTAGAGGAGAGTTTGAATAATTGAAGATGGGCCCGAATAGCATATAACCGAGTACATAACTCGGGTGGAGAAGGTGGCCAACCAACTCGGCAAGAATGAAGAACAAATGCCACCTAATCGAGTTGTGGGAAAAATCTTGAGATCCCTCACAAAAGATTTTGAAAGTATCGTATGCGCCATCGAAAAATCGAAGGACTTATCAGTTCTTACAGTGGATGAACTTGTTGGGTCACTAGAAGCCCACAAACAAAGGAGAAGGAGTTGGAATGATAGGGTTGAACCTCTCGACCAAGCACTACATGCACAATATGCACCACGAGAATTAGAAGCATCACGAGAAAAGTAGATCTCCAATCCACAACTTCATTTTCTAGTTAATCCAACTTCTCAATATTGATAACTTTACTACATGTTGCATTGAAATAAAAGCACAATCTTGTTAAGGTATATATGATATTCTTAGGCAATATGTTTTGAATAACCATTAGTAGAAGTTATTGCATAAATACCGACAATCTTGAGATTTTAGCCCAAATAGTTTTACATCTTTCATGGACACAACTATTTTAAAATTGGAATAGTAACCCAATAGAACTTTCACACATCGAAAGACTCACAAAAAATTTTATTCTCTTTTTTAAATAGTGTGTGCTAGAGGCAAGTATGTCCGTTTACCATGTGATGTTGAAACTAATTGTTTTCTTATACCCATTTCAACATGGTCTAAATGAGCATTGAGACCATCTTTTGTCTTGCCTTGAATACTAAGGAGTGTTTCGATAAGACTATCACAAACATTTTTCTCTACATGCATAACATTTATACAATGTCTCACACCAAACACCCTCCAATATGGGAGATCAAAGAAAATTGACATTTTCTTCCATATGTTGCTTGAAGTGCTGTTTTTTTTGCATCTTTTCAAGCATAACCCCAATTTCTTTCACATGCTCATATATTTGTGATTCACTTAAATTCATTGAAGCTAATTCATTTTTTTGAAACTCATTAAATGCTTTCTTTAATTTACGATATGGATGATTTGTACTAAGAAATCTTCGATGTTCAAGGTATATTGTTTTCCTTCTATTCTGTAATTGATGGTGACACGTGTCTTCTTCACATATAGGGTATGCTTTGTGACCCTTAGTGTTGTAGCCTCTTAAATTATCATATGTTGGAAGTCGTTGATTGTACACAATAACATGGCATGCAAGTTGAAGGAATCACTGATGTACCCATCAAACATATCAACACCTTCTTCCTTTATTTCAAATCTTCAATTAATAGGGTTAAATTTGTCATTTCCTCGTTGTCTTAAACCTGAGATCATCAAGGATAACATCGCATATTTGTGTTTCATGTACAACCACGACGGTAAATTGTAAATCACTAACAAGACAAGCCATGAACTATGTTTACTACTTAAGTTACCATATGGATTCATTCCATTTGTAGCAAGTCCTAACCTAATGTTCCTTGAATCATTGGAGAAATTTGGAAATATGGAATCAATTTTCTTCAATTGCGAAAAATTTGTAGGATGCCTTAAATGACCATCTTTTGTACATCCATCTGCATGTTATCTCATAAGTTTTGAATCACTTGTATTACTGAATAATTGTTTCAATCATGGAACTAAATGAAGATATCACAATAATTTCGTAGGAGGACCCTTACTTATTACATTTAAACTTGCCATCTTTTGTTTGTATTGTGATACCCCACATTGTGGCCATTGATGTAATATGGAAAACTCCTTCATGTACAAGACACAATCGTTTGGGCATGCATGAATTTTTTTATACTCCATATCCATCAGACACAATACCTTCTTCTCGTCATAATTATGTGTTGGCAATGTATTACCTTTTAGAAGCATGTCACTTAAAAAATCAAGCAATTATGTGAATATTTTATCAGTTCACCCATTTCTTGCCTTCACATTGAATAATTTTAATATCATTGACAATTGAGTATACTTAGTGCATTCTACAAACAAAGGTTCTTCAGTGTCACTGCATAAACCTTCATACACATGATCATGCTGAAAGGAATCATGTCTAACATCATGAATCATTTCCTCTAACCGAACACTCATCTTTAAATCAAATTCTTCTACTTCTGCTTCAGACACATGTACATTTGACATGTATACTAATTCACCACAGTAGGAAACCATCACAAAGAACATGTTCCTGAATAACTTCAACTTGTAGTTTTAGCTCATTTAAAAAATTAACACACGAGCAATAAAATCTTCTGTTATTTTCTGAAACATTCATCTTTGCAAATTCAAGAAATTGTTCTACTTCACTCTCATATTCATTTGTTGTTCGTATAAGTTTTATCCAACTAATTGTTGTGGTATAAACCAACACCTTTGCTTTTAGTTAAAGCTAAGAACAAGCCAAACATAGTCCAATCTATTAACTTAGCCCTGCCACCAAACAACCACACAAGCAATTAATCATGGATTAGGTTGTTTAAACCTCACTTCAATATATGTTAATGGAAACATTCTCTGTTTTTATGTTAAAGAGGTTCTATTATGTTCATTATCAACATAGTTATTGTATGTTGCTAATTAGTTAAAAGTCATAACAATTAAAAAAAAACAAAACCTCTAGTTCCATATATCCGTAAAGGCATCATACAACATACAATATTCTATGTCATATAACATCCAATACTAGGTATCAAACAAACTAAAGACACATATTTAAATAAATAAACACATTTAAGTAAATAAACACATCAAAATGCAGATTAAACAAATTTCACAACATATAAGCTAAATTTGAAGAAAAGACATGAAAAACATAGAATGAGGCTCAAAGCTTACTTGGACTATGCTTCACCCAAACCCTAAATGGTGAG